CCTCCCCTCCCTGGACACTCTGGTAGATGGATGCTATGTCAGCATTGGTTCTGATCTGGTTGGTGAAGTCGGCCATGCTGGGCCTCCGCTCCACCTCGGGCACAGCCAGCAGGGGGGCGATAGCACGCATGGCCGAGCGTCTCAACTGTTCCTGCTTCTCAAACTCCTGCTTCACAGAACCGGCCTTCACCTAGAGGTGACAGGGTGGGGGCTCATTTCAGTGCAGTGGGAATTATCATCACACACTTAGTATTGAGGAGTACAGTCTGACTGTGTGTATTATACATTTTACAAGAAAAACTATATTATACTCCATTCTGACCATCATTCCTGTCAGTTATGGTGACATTTTATTTGCTGTGTGTCTTGTTTGATGGATGCCACGCAGCAGCTCTAAGCTCAAGTCCACGGGGCGTTGTGATAGATCAGACAGGTCCAAGTGACCCTTCTTAGGAAGCCCCAACCACCTGAGCTCTGTGTAGCACATATGCAGTTTTTGATGTCAGGAGATCTTTCACACAAACTTGATTTCAGACAGCAGGAGGTAAAAGCAGGTTGATTTATAGCTGAAATGGTCAGAAAGTAGCAGATGTTAACATTAAATAAGGAGCAAAAAAACTCTGCTATGATAAAATCTGCGATACTGGATTTGAACTGCATTTGCTGCCAGCACTGAACTTGGCTTTTTCAAACATTACCTGTAAGTACACCCTCCTCCTTGGTGTGTACTATAACCTAAGAGGTCACTGTTTCAAGCTAATCTGTCCCTTACCAGTCTGCTTTTGGGCTTTCAACTGAACCGTCGCTCTCTGAGGGAGGGATTTAGGGAGCAGTCAATAATCTAAACTGATTTTCCAGGTGAAAATATCCATTACACTGGTCAACTGAATTGTAAAACTGTATGCACACACACAATTGTGATAAGTAGAGTATGTCACAGTTTACCCCGGAAGTAACTCTACAAAATCTGAAAATCTTGTATTATAAGCTGTAGTTCACATTTCTTTTATCTTCAACATGAGGACCGTCTACAGGACAACTAAACCTTGCCTAAGGAGCCATGTTTGAGAAGCCCTGTGACTAATGTAAAGCTGGGTCCACTGCCATAACTCAGCATTTACCTATAACAGTCATAGTAAGAATATAAGTGAATGATATTTAAGACTGCGTTCTGAAACCGGTGCTTTAAGTGGCTCCACCAGTCTCTGCAGAATGGCAGCAGGACACAGAGACACCAGTCTGGCCAGCATCAGGAACATCAGCATCTACAGAAATATACACCCACAAACACACAGTTAAGAAGAAGCGGGAGAGCAGCGAGATGTTTGTGTTTGTCAGTGCTGCTGCACGCGTCTTCCACCCACGCTGATGTCATAGTGGTCCTTGAGTCCTTCCTCTATGTTATCCAGGAACTGCAGGATGTCCAGCCCTTCCAGGCAGTTGTCCAGCAGGGTGTACATACACTCGAACGCCGCTTTACGCCGTTTTAGAGCAACAACATGCGTCGTTTCAGGAGCGCAAAGTCCTTCCAGACTCAGCAGGTGTTTGCAATGCACTCATTAAAAATGAAGAGTTAAGACATTGTTAGTTTGTACTGTGAGGAGAAAAAACACATTATGAGTAAAAGTAAAGTAAATTGTTAAAGGTTAAGGTAAAATTTTTATATTATACTGGTATACATGATTTAACATTACAGGAAAATTATCTTACAGATGGACAAATGTTACATTTTTTTTACAACACACTCCATAACTGTAGTGCAGTCTGTCCCAAAGACACTTTTAAAAAGAGATGGAAACCTTTGCAGGTTGGCTGGGAAAATTTCCGTGAAAGTGTGTATTTATTTATTTGTAGTAAAAGCATCGATAGCCAACACCAGCAGTCCACATTGAAAGTCTAGCCTACATTGACATCATTTTAAACAGATGAGAGACCTCATCAAGACGAGACGGATAAGTTTGTGAGGTATCTTTCATCTCTTTTAAAAACTAACACTCACCCAGTGTAGTGTGTGTCAAGTCAATCCATTCGCAGTGTTTTCACTTTTTGCTTGAACAGCTTAAAAGGAGGAGAGCTGACATGAGATCCTCCATTTTTTGTTTTCACACTAGTTATTAGTCATTTTAATAGTTAGAAACATGGCAACAATTACCAATATGTTCTAGAGATGTATTAGTTATTAACAAAAGTATCTATTCTCATTCATTACAGAAAACATTTCTTCTTTTTTTTGCATAAGAACTTGGTAAATAGTTGATATTTTCTTTATAACCCATTCTTCAATAGTTGCACTCCTTTTTCTGGTAAATGATTAAAAAGTCTCTTCCATAACTTTATGATGCAGTTGAACCCTGTGTGAAGTAATATTTAGGCTTATAAGGTAGCATTCACTCTCATGTCCGTTTCCCCAACAGCCACAAACAGCAGAAAATGTGTGCAGCATTTCCATCCAAGGGAACATCAAATGAAGCAGTCAGAAACCAGTCCATGACATCATGTTGAGAGGCATTTAAACCTCAACTTCTTTTCCACATGGCTTAAAAAGTCCACAGAGATCAGAGAGCACTGTAGTAAAAACCCTCCTCGGCTGTTGCTATTGTAGTGGTAGAACAGTGGTTGAGATTCGGCGCTGTTCTGTTAGTATGCGCAGAGAAATGGTCTAGGTTTGTAGCCCCCGTTTCTATGGCTTGCTTCCAATATATGGTTTCTGGTTACAGTTGAAATACAGTCAGACGTGATAGTGAGGGGAGTGGCGATACATGAGGCACTCAGCATTATTCAAAGGTCAGTAGTGAGAAATCTTCAGCTTTAAATACAAAGACTAACATCACTGATTGACTTCACTCGTCTATTTGTTTGTGGAGGACTAGAACAGATGTGTGACATGAACACAGCAGCCGTAGCTGCTCTATTGGGCAGATCCAAATAGTGACAAAACATTTCCAGTTCTTTCTCCTCAAGGGTAAAAGATGCTACAGCAAGGATATCTTTTCTAAATCACACAAAAGCAGACCCAGAACATACAAATCACAGGGCCAACGCTTCTCTCAGATGACTCCAGTGTCTTTTAGCAAGGAGAAATGGAATGAGGTCAACATCTTGAAATGGGACATAATGTATTTAACACAGTGTCAGTTATGAACCTCCTTCATGGAGGTTGAATGCAAGACATTGATTTGTCTTCCATTAATGAAAGATCCATCCTTTTCAGCAAACATTTTAACTATAAGCTAAAAGTTGCTTTGATAATGGAGTCCAAGCTTGTAAATATATTAAATGCATTGCTTGGTTTCACTCCAGTAAATTGACCACATCTAATGGCTTGCTTTGCATCTGTATTGCTTCCCTGTTTGCTTAAAATGGGAGCATTCAATCCAAGAATGATTCTGGTAAGCCTGAGAAACAAATCTAGCCGCTGCATATCCATATTTCATCAAGTTAAATACATGGCATATTGAATTTGTGGAGTGGCAGCTGGAGATGCTTAAAATTGGATTGTGCTGCAGAAACAGCATCCCCTTTGATGTGAGGGAGTGAGTTGAGCAGAGCTCATGCAGTTTTAAAAAGAGACAAAAGGAGCGTTTGTGGATCCTTCATGATTCACCTTTTGTTTAGGCGACGCCCCTTTGATGTGACAGGCTCCAGTCCAGGTGAACTGAGCCTCTTGCTTGGTTCAGGCTGCTTACCACAGTATTCCTGTGCAGACTGTCATGATGCAACCAATTTAGGAGAGCTCAAAGCCCGTGTTCATACTGATAGCATAGCGCAGCTTGTCACGCAGGATGCTCTTCTTGCTGTAGTTGGGCAGCTTGAGCAGGTTGAAGCACGTTGATGAAGTGGGAAGCCGACCACCAGGCTCCTTCTTGCGGATAGTGAAAAAGCCCCTGAGGACACTGCCGAGGGTATCTCCAGTGTCCTAGACACAGGAAGTGCTCTATTAGTACAAATGTAACACATGGATGCCAACCACAACAAAAACATAACACCTTTAGAGCAGCATCAGTTTCCTCCTTTGAATTTTTACCTGATCATCTGAAACTTCGACACAACGGATGGAGAAAGGTGGTTTGAGGTAAGCAAAACCTAGAAGAGGTGGCCTTGAGCAGCTGGTAACAAACTGTACAAACACATGTAAAAGAATAAGCGACATTGGTTAAAGTGCTTTGTGTTGGAAAGTTACAGACTCAAAAACTTTTGGCTGTGGCAAACAGAGTACAGCTTACTTTAAGGAACATAGCCCTCTCTTCAGCACTGAAGTCACTGGACAGGATGTCCCACAGCCAGATGATGACACGATGGCTGCTGTGAAAACCTCCATAGTACACTGTGTGTTTCCTGTGAAAAAGTGGAAAACAACAATGATGAGCAGCTTCATTTGTAAACATAAAGCACAAAAAAGGAAACATCTGCTGCAACTCAAACAAGGTGTTTGGCTTGTCCTACATCGGCTATAGAAACTTTAATTATAATCAGTATAAGTGTTGTGGTGACACAACAAAATGCTCATAAAACCGTGTGGAATCATATCAATCAGACAGTATCCAAATTATAGACTTAAGAGAAGAAAAAAATGGTACACACTTGAGATCATCTAGATCAATTTCAGCATTGTCTCCTGAGACAAGACGCTGAACCTCAGGTGTGGAAAACATGTGCAGCCACTCCGGGTTAATGATGCTGCGGAAGCCTCGGATGAAAGCTGCCGTTTGCTCTTTAATCTGCGTGTGCATCCGGAAGTGAGCCATGAGATGGATGTAGCTAATCCTGTAGGTGATGGTAGAGGTGAAGTCACAGTTAGACTGATTTCTATGGAATACACAACCATCCGCAAAAGGACAACATTTTAAATTTAAAATAGATCACACCCTGTTATTTCTTTTTCAATTGAATATGAATTTACATACTTGTTTTCATTGGTGACAGGCATGGTTTTCCCCCCAGGTATCAACTCGTGACAGACAAGCTGCAACAGCCATAAAAAGTAACATTTATCCTATGAAGTTTATGTATTTAACTGCAATGTGTCATATCGTCCATGTTTTCCATCTTTACCTGCCCCATAACATCCTCATCATAGGATAATGTCAGTCCTAGATCCCCTACATCTCCATCATAGCGCTGAAAAATCAAATGTCTCCTTGATATTAGAAACCAACCAACTACAGTGTGAGCCAGAGATGGAAATGTGGCCAATTAGAGAAAAACACAGTAAACAACTGGCCAAGTGTAAATGTCTTACCTTGATGGAAGTGAGGTTCTTGTAAAACTCAGAGTCCAGAGAGGGAAGCTCATCAATGGAGCTGTAGAAAGTGCTGTGGTGGTGACCCAAGACTTGACTGAGGAAGAAGGAGGCAAAAGGGACGTCCACAACAATGCCCTGAATGGCAGAAGTAATGAAGACACAATCACTGACAAGCACCTAAAATACTGCGTTCGGATTAAGAACAACAAAAATGAGGCATTTCTATGTAGATGAAAGGTACCTCATATATGGCTTTCCCGAGCATCTTCCCCACAAACTCAAACAGCTGCAGGTGGTTCTCGTGGATGTACGATGTGGGTGAAGGATACAGCCTTTCATTTCCACTTGTAGTCTAAGGAAAATAAATATTAAATGACACAAAACAGTATAAACTAAAGTGTGGTGGTTTAAAAATGGAACGGCATTTGACTAAATTACCTTGAACAGGTTGAGTGCAGGATTGAACACTTTCTTAATGATCTCCTCTAGAAACTCTTTGAAGACACCATCCTGATCGATACCAGCCTCATCCACTCCCAGATCATTAACAAACTTCACACGAATGACACCTTTAATAGAATTCACTGGTAACCGACGGAGCTGGTCATACCCATCCTTAGAAGAGAGAGGTAAGGATCAGTTTGAGATGGCCAACATAATCCAAAACTGTCTAAATCTGATTTTTTGACCTCTATACCTCCAACATCCTTGAGCGACGAATGGTAATATGGGTGACATGTGGTGATGCAGAGCTTGTTTCTATCAATCCTAAACTTTCTTTTTCCTTTGTAACAATGTTCCTGAAAAGCAACACCCTCTGAAATGTAGAGAAAAAGCAATTATACAACTGAAAATCCAAATGACTCTCTTTGCCTTAAATGAAAGGATCCTGTTTACTCACGTTTTTATGTGGAATGACATGTGGGATGTACTGCAATAACAGCTGGGCCCTTCTCTTCCCTTTTTCAAGCTCTTGAAACAACAGGCTGGGCTTCAGGTCCCTGAATGCAACAACACAAAGATGTAAATGTGAGCTTTTAAGCTGTACTCACAGAACAATCTATCCTGAAACAGAAGGCTGATGTGTTTAGGAGATCGAAAGCTATTCAGGGTTTCGATGTTGGTATTTACTTGCGTAGCCAGTGGTCATCGAGGGTGAACCTTCGTCTGCAGTCCCGTTCATAAAGTACCATCAGCCAGCCATGAACACTGTGGAACAACTCCAGCTTCTCCCCCTTAGCATTTTCTGTGCAAAACAAATAAAATAGCTTTTTCAGTAAAAATATACATTAACTTAGCTTCGCTTCCATCATCATTACTTTCAAGTTTCAGTGAGATTAAACACTCACCTAAGATGCCATCCCATATCATCTTGTACACAAATGTGTTCAGAAATGATGAGATAGTGATGAGTTCCTCAATCTTGAAAGATGTTTGCTCTTCATAGACTTCAATGTCATCCAGAATTCTGTAACACGGACAACAGTGTCATTAAAGGTTGCTCCTACACTGGACATCTTATGCAAAATATGGTAAAAGACAGTTACGTGATGAGGTGCCGTGAGCAGTCACAGAAGAGCATGAGCATAGACAGGAGCTGCTTGGACTCTTCGGTGTCATTGTTCAGACACTCCATGAAGAGTTTGAGGCCTCCCTGAGGACCAAGCTCACATATAAAAGCCCAAAGCTTAGGCAAGAGGTCATCAAGATGTGTCAGACCTGCATGAAGAACAAAGAATGTACAGAGACATACTCAGTGATTACGTGAATACATTTGCAGAATTTCCAAAATAATGTACATTTGTGTAATATAAAAAATGCAAGATTCTGGTACTGACCAGTGAGTATCTGGAGGCGTATTTGTGTCAGTGTAGACAGAGCAGTCTGGTACAGTACACAGATGCTGCACACCTTCTGAACTTCAGCTGAATCAACCCGCTTCCCTCCCACTGGTTTCAGGATGTTTCTTACAGAAGCTGACTTCTGAAATGCTCGCTTGAAGAGATCTTTCCAAACACAGACACAAGACACCACAAATAAAAGGAACCTTGAACAAACTTCAAACCTTTTTTAAACTCAACAGATTGTACTTGTAGTATTTTAAAATATTAGGTTTGTTCCTATAACTCACTTTTAACTGGCAGATTGTTTTGTGATGTGCTAGGCTGTGGAGGTGGGGGAGTGGGTTCTTGACTCTCCAGCTTTTTAGAAAGGACATCACTGAAGAGTGTTCGAATGACAGAAACACTCCACAGGTACTGAAGCTGTTTAGTGACCAATGGCATCGACTCGTTCAGACTACAGAAGATGATAGACAGAAGAGACAGAAGGGGAGACCAAGTCAGGTATATCTGGCATTATTTTAATAAAGGGAAAATGAGCTCTTCTTTGAGAACCATCAGGCAGTCTGATGAAGTGTGTTAACTTGGTAAGTTTTTTTAATTTAATAACCAGAGGTTATTCCATTGAGGTTAGAAACCTCTTTTACAAGGGAGCCCTGGCCAAGACAACAGTATCACAAGTTTCAGACAAAAACAAACACATACAACACTAAAACAGACAACAATGTATAACATCAATGAAAGCTAAGAACAGAGGAGATTATAGAACAGTGTCAGTACCAGGAATTAAAAAGAGCTAAGAAGACTTGGTTGTTTATGACCAATTCACAAACTGGCAATGTGACCGTGTCATGTCCTGCCTTCTGCACACTCTACGCATAAACCAAACAGAGTATTTCCAGTATGTGAGAGCATGTCTGACATGTACTATCTCCTGTTTGATACATTTGTGAAAGGGCGACACTGGACAAAGTCCAGGCCTAAATTCATGGACATAGTCATGTCATGTCATGTTGATGTGTGAAAACGACTTATGTCTTTTACTGACCCATAGTCTACGGTTTGTGAGAACCAGCCCAGAACGGGGTGCCAGTGGGTAAGGTTGGACTTCTTTTGGGATACATATCTCTGGCAGTAGGACAGAATGTCAGTCAGGTCCTTCACAAAATGGCTGGCCTCCTCTTCAAGGACTTTCTCATTGAGGTAACCCAAGTGAATCAGGTTGCCTATCAAATATGAGAAAAAATTCACTTTAAAGGGTAAAATTAACTCTCCACAGGACACACAGTGATTCTTTCATCCGTATACTGTACAACTATGCTATACCAAGTAAGCAGAGTGTGTGACTTCCCTCGAGACACACACAGATGTCCGAACACTGTTCTTCCCGACTGAGAAACAAAATGAACTTCCGCAGGAGATCATGAGTCTGGATGGATGCAGTACACTGTTGAGGTAGAGCAGATATTGAAACCTACTCTCCAACAGTTCACATTATTATACCACGTTATATATGCTGGGGCATTTACCTCTGGAGTAAGCACACTGAGGTGGGATACAACAGCTGGAACTGACATGATGTGAATGAGGAATGATCTTAGCAGGTTATCGGAGAAGTGTGCAGCAATAACTGGCCTAAAAAAAATTGATTTAGTTAAAAGGACATCATGCAAATAAATCCTCAAAACACAAAGTAAACTGAATATAACATGTCTCTTCCAGTTCATGTATTGAAGTGTTTTTTTTTTTTCCTAATAGGAGTCAGATCCATCAAATCACCAGCTCACCTTAATGACAAAGTGAAGATGGCTGTAAGAGTGCCTTTGGAGAGAGATGGTTTAGAGCGAGCCAAGCCATTGGTCAGCAAGATCTAAACAAGTTGTGTTTGAATTACATACAACATGCATTATTAATAAAATATCTGCTACTGAAAAATAAAACAGGTGTCACACTACTTCATTAAATCTCTTGAAAGAGTTGAAAAAGTATGGCTTGCAATACTGAACCTGCAGTACTGAATAGAATCCCTTTTGATTGAGGTGGCCCATGATATTTTCACAAATCTTTGTCAAAGCCGGTTTAAGAGCATCTCCTAAAATAGAGGGGAGGATATGATGTTTTTCTTTGCAGAATGCATGTCCTGCAATAACAGCACATGTTTTTATTAACAACCTCAGCTTGACTTGAGACTTACCTTTCCCTTTGACTATCCGCCAGGTTGAAGTGTCTGTGAAAGTCACCAGCATGGTAAGGTACAGTGTTACCAATTTATTGTCTTGAAGTATGTCAGGCTGCAAATCACAAAACACATACAATACTGACACTCTGTATCATTTCTATCATGAGATCAATAGCAAAATATGTTTTCCTGTTTCAAATCAATGTTAACCTTTAAATTCTTCAGCAGCTGACAGCAGGTCCACAGCACATCTTTTATTTGTTTGAGCCAGGGAATGGTGAGGTCTTTGGAGAGAGCCAAGGACACATACCAGACCTGAGAGGTGAATGTGAAAACAGTCACTGAGACAAAATTTACATACAAGAATGGGTCAAATGTGGAGGGTAAAATGCAAGCACACTCACTTTAGGTTCATTTTCCACCTCCATGCTGGCAAGAATAGCACGACACAGCTTCTCAAACCTCTGTGTAATGTACAGATTAAAACTGTTCAAGTCAAACAGCCCAAGACAATTATCTAAGTTTCCCCAATGTAGTCTCCCCACAACAGGTGAGGATTAACAAGAAAAACTTTTTTCTAAAACTAAATTAACTTGTATTAGTTGTGTACCTATCATTGTCAGTAATGTGTTATCCAAATCAGCAAACTGGTAACTCACCATTTTATCCTCTTGGCAATATATGAACAGTAATTTTCGAGCAATTTTGAAAATTGAAAGTGCATTTCTTTTTGACGTCCCAGTTTCAGAGGCTTTAAAATAGTCATCAACCTCTTTCCTGGGGAGGCACAGAAACAAGTTTCAGGATAATATTTAAAACTGCTATTCATTTACTTACTATGTTCTGGGCAAACATACTGAATTCAAAACCCTTAAAATCACAAGGGGCTAGTAAATCTGCAATAAATAAATTTGGAGATCACCTTATTTCCTTCTGAAGTCTGCAGCGACAGAGAAATTTCCTGACCAGGGCCTGGATATGAATTGCTGCTCTCTCCTTCTCCTTCAGTCCTTTCCTCTCCTCTCTGGCCTGCCTGGCTTTGTCCAGGAACTCAGACTTGGAGCTTTGAGGTACACCAAACATTGTACGCCCTAGAAAATAATCCACAGGGCTGCTGTACTACAAAACTACAAAATCTGTATACTTGCACCGATAACATTTTTACAGTGAAGTCAGAGCAAGTATGTGCGCTTTGTCTGTGTCTGTGTTAATATAGCATCCTAACTACTTCCAATCATTACACTGTTTTGAGTTAACATTATAGTAAAAGTACCTGCGATGGTCCTCAGTTGAAGTTTTCTTTTTCTGGCCTTTAGGCTCTCCTGGCGTTATACCTCCTCAGTCATTTGGTTGTCCTTGAGGTGCAAACAGGAGTAGAGCCAAATGAAAACATGAAGACTAACTTGCCATCTCTAGAGCAAAGGGCGATACAGTAGAGATGGAGCAGGGACAGTTAGCTCACAGGGCTAATTCACTACTCATCTGTTTGATACTGCCTCAGGGAGAATCTTTTCATATTAATTTAATAATATTTGTCATATTTGCAAGATTATGTCTGATCCTATATCAATGACAGTCTCATAAACACAGAGAACATACCATTTCTAAATGTAAACAATGAGAGAAGATCCGTATAACGTTACTGACTGCAGCCATTAATCCCTTGTGTCGCATAAAAGGATTCCGGGTAGTGTTTGCGTTTATGTTTAGATCGCTATTTGAGAGCATTTATCGACAGAAGCTCTAAAATATTCCAAAATATATTTCTTCGTGTTGTAAAAGCAACTTTGTATTTCTAGTAGAGAATAAAGCTTTCTTCTAGTGGGTGGGTGGGGGACTATTATTACTGTTACTCCTTCAACAGCGGAAATGTGCAGGCTAAGGCGAAAGCATTTTCTTTAATATGTTAGCATAATTAAAAGTAGTAGGGTAGAGGGTATTTGTGGTGTGCTGCATTGTTATTTGTGTCTCATTTCACTTAATGTCTAAAACTCGGTAGCCTATAGCAAAATTATGCGAACTGTCTTTTTAAACAGGGGACTGGAACGTTGACGTCATTTTATAGTATCTGCGCACCGCTGGACCGGAAGGAAATGGGTGTTAGCTGATTGACGCTAGCAAGCTACAATTACGAAGTCAGCTGCGGTTTCTATGGTAAATATAACTACTTGTGTTTTTATTATAAACTAAGTGGTAACATACTGCTAACGTTATGCAGAGAAAGTGTTTCATTAGCCAGTGTCGTGATATGTTGATCTTTTGTCAGATTTGTAAACATACAGGTAACTTTAATGCTAACTAGCTGCCTATCTCAGTAGCTGCACTTAACGTTATTGGTCAAAATGTAATTACCACATATTGGGCTGAGATATAATATCGAGTTCTACTTTATTTTCTAATGTTGGATAAAAAGACGTGCACACTCGTACAAACTTAATAAAGATTGTTAGCGTTTGGAGAAAGGCCAGAAATCTCGTAGCAAGTCTGTCGTAAGATCTGAATGGCCACTGCCATATAGAGCTTTTTATAGCTTTATAAATGCAACATAAACAGAAATACTAGTGTAGCACAATAGTTAGTGGAGTCAGAAATATCGAGAAATTGACAAACTGTTGGATTTGGACGAAAAATATAGAACCACACCAGTCTTAACCTTTTAAAATGAGCTATCTGCATTAATATTGACCCATGTCGTAAACACCCAACGTTATTTTTCCACGTAGCGTTAGTTCCCTAAACCAAGTTAATCCCTTTATGATTTATAATATTCTGTTTCAGGAAGAGATGTCAGGAGAGAGTGTGGTGAGCTCGGCAGTGCCAGCGGCTACAACCCGGACTACATCCTTCAAGGGCTCCAGCCCCAGCTCTAAATATGTGAAGTTAAATGTGGGTGGGGCACTGTACTACACTACAATGCAGACACTAACAAAACAGGACACGATGCTCAAAGCCATGTTCAGTGGCAGGATGGAGGTCCTCACAGACAGCGAAGGTAAGCTATTGATTCAAATCTTTAAATGTATACAGTGTTTGTCATCTTTTCACTGGACATGACCTATTACTAACTGATGTTTCATCTTGTCATATCCATAGGATGGATCTTGATTGATCGCTGTGGGAAGCATTTTGGAACAATTCTTAACTATCTTAGAGATGGGGCAGTGCCGCTTCCAGACAGCCGACGGGAAACTGAGGAACTGCTTGCTGAGGCCAAGTATTATCTTGTCCAGGGCCTCGCTGATGAATGTACAGCTGCCTTGCAGGTAAGTCATTAAAGCAGGGAAATGCAGTAATACTTCATCCAGCATCATATTGTCGGAATTTTTGTTAACTCCACAGAACTATTACTAAGTCATATTTCTTTACAATTATTTCTCCTCTTAAAAATGAGTTTTAAATAAGTTTTAATGTAAGTTATTTTCAAATGTAGGTGCTGTTTTTTATATACTTATTTATCTATTCTTCTGTTATGAGGGATATAAAATCTGTGACAGGATAATTTTAAACAAATCTGCCTAAAGTCTTGGTAGTTTTGATGACAGTTGGTAACTAAAACATTGAGCCTTATTTAATGTGGAGCTGGTGTTGCCTTCATATTTGCCACTCTGTTCCAAAAGGTGGTGTCCTTCCTTGTATTATTTACTGTATGTTGCAGTTTTGCAGGTGCAACTTATTTAATGGATTTATTTCCCACTAGAACAAAGAAACTTATGAACCCCTTTGTAAAGTGCCTCTGATGACATCATCTAAGGAAGAGCAGAAGCTTATTGCAACCTCAAATAAGGTATTTTATTATGTTTTTTTATATATAAAATCAGCTAAATGTCTAGTGCAATATCCAGAAAAATTTGTTTAAAATTTCTTTATAAAAACCAACTTCTTTGTCTTCACAGCCTACTGTCAAACTGCTTTATAACAGAAGCAACAACAAATATTCATATACCAGGTGAGTCCTCTTTGACTCGTATTCAGAGTGAGCAGGTCTAATTAAAGAAAGAATATAAACTGCCACCAAACTCTTAATAAATAACCATTCTGTAACCCTTTTCTTTTTCTCCCAGCAATTCTGATGACAACATGCTGAAAAATATCGAGCTCTTTGACAAGCTGTCATTGCGGTTCAACGGTCGAGTACTCTTCATCAAAGATGTGATTGGAGATGAAATCTGTTGTTGGTCATTTTATGGCCAGGGGCGTAAGATTGCCGAAGTGTGCTGCACCTCCATTGTTTACGCCACAGAAAAGAAGCAGACAAAGGTAATTATGTGTTTGTAATATTCTGACTGAAAGAGTTCTTTGTTCTGTCGTGAGTGTAGAGCTACAGTACAGTGTCATTTAATTATCTCTCTTGTGTAACATTCCACTTCTGTCCTAGGTTGAGTTCCCTGAGGCACGAATCTATGAAGAGACCCTCAACATCCTCCTGTACGAGTCCCACGATGGAAGAGGTCCAGACAATGCCCTGCTGGAGGCCACAGGGGGTGCTGCAGGACGATCTAATTATCTGGATGAGGATGACGAGCGAGAACGAATTGAACGAGTTCGTAGGATTCATGTCAAACGACCTGATGACCGCACACACCACCACCAGTGACCTCCCTTCTGTGGCTCGTCAGCTGGTGTCTCTGACCCTGGACAGTCTTTGCACCATGGTTGTGCCTTACAACAACTAGCACCTCTCTTTCTCCCATTTGTTTTACCAACTTTCTCCAGGAGACTACGATTGTCAAACGACAGTGTGTAGTGAAGAAGTGATTTTGCGTGTTTAACAGGCTGTGATGTTTTGTTCCCTGTTTTAGTCATTATAACTACTATCACTGTTTTCTGTTGGCATGCAGAAGCCCATAGACACATGTTTGCATTCAGCAACGCATGTGACCAGAGATTCACCTGAATGCGTGAATAAAAAGTAAGTGTTGTTGAGATACATCAAATATTTGCTTATTTTAAAAGTTACAACTACATTACATCCAGGAGAGCAAGAATTGTATCATATAAGTTGCTTAAAAATTTACATAATTTTTGCTTCTCCTTATTGTGTTATGACGGGTCCACTGTAAAGTCAGCAGTGGATGAACCGGGTGTTGTTCTACACAGTAAGGCCACATGGTGGCACTGTTTTACAGTTAGAACATGACAAGACTGTGTTGTAGCCTGCAGATAACAGTAATTAAACCTTTTAAATTGTACTAATGTTTGATAGTTAAGATATCACAGGCAGATGCTACATTTCATTGTAGTGCTTCAGCCATATTTAGTTTTAACATTTATGCATTTTCCATTCACTTCATTAAATGATCATTATTTTCAGTGAAGGGAACTTGAGCTGTGACCTGAGGTGTTAGATGTGCTGGGGTCATTAAATGATGGATGCTGAGGTTGAAGTGAATGACTGTAACCATAGATGTTCCTGGCAGGAAGGGAGTCCTGTCTACAAACTTTTAACGGGGAGAGAAATTAGAGCTGTCCTTCATTGCTGCATTCACCAGCAAATGTACTGTTTGCACACAATAGGTTTGAGGTGAAATGACTAACATAACATCATAGTACTTGTAAGTCTCTTGTACAGAAGTGAATGTTTTATATTTATACATTATCACAAATAAATTTCTACAATCACTGTTTTGTTCTGTTCATTTTCACATTCCCAGTGAACATACAAAATAATGATACGTATGGCTTCATTGTTTTGTAATCAGATTTACAGATTCCTTGAAGCAGTTTGAGTAATGTTGTGGTTTGCACATTAAAATAGTTTTGTAAATTAATGATTTACAGTCCATTGTAAGCCTTTGCTTACAAAACAACAGACAAACTCTTAAACAGAATGACTAAAAATGTAACTCTGGTTGCAGTACTTCTGATTTATCACTGTTATGCATAGATAAATTATGTGTTGATGTCCAACCAACAAGCTCATCTCATCCAGGGTTCATAAAGTGCTTCTCCTCAGGTGTGTCTCCAGCCGACATGACGATCCTCTATATAGGGGTCTCCTGATGAAAAATGCAGTGGCTTCTTGTGTAGCTCCTCCTGAGCCGCACACGTTACCGGGCCCTAGCTCGAGTGGCAACCTGCAGTGACAAACAGTTTTGATTCATGTTGTACCTCTTTGTCTGCAGATGAATTTTAGACCAGAGCATGAGCAAACACATCAGTACATCCATTCTTCATCATAACACTCATCTCACCACCATCAGATGTCCGTTGTTGCCCTTGTATACCATTGGCTCTTGCCCAGTGCTGAAGTCCACTGCTCTCTCTCTCCCTGCAGGGATTTCAAACTTGATACTGAAAATCAATGTGAGCACAAGTATTTTAGATTAATGCACATATCAAATCTCATCTCTACATTTCTGTCTTAGACACAGACTCACCTTCCCTGAACCACTTGGATCGCATTTTGTTTGTTAGCAATGACCATGAGTTTGGTCAAAAGCTCAAACAAGTGGTCACACTGTATTACCACATCCCCCTGGAACAACCAGACAAAAGGACCTTACATAAAAAAACACTTTATATGCAACTTTTAAATAACCTCTACCTGAAAATATTTGAAGACAGCTCTGTGTAAATGTGCTGTATGATTTATGTTCACTCTTTATCTCTGTTTAATTTGTACTAAGAAAACATAAAAACATTTATAAGGGTTGGATTTGTTCCATCACATTTGATCATTTACATCTACACTATTAATAAACATTCAGTGCCATATTTGTACAAAAAAAGGCAATTCTGACAACCCCAAATATCTGCTGTATATCTACATACCTTCTGTTTACTGTCCTCACATGTGACGTGGAAAATAATCATGCCATCAGTCAAGTTACTGACAGAAATGCCTGAAATGAGAACATTACAGATGTTTTAGTATATAAAAACATCCCTGATGGCAAGCGAAATGTACAGTATACTGTATTGTCATAATGGCCTGACCTTTGAGAGCGGTGTACAGCACTCTCTGTTTGATCTTAGCTTTCTCTATCACATACGCAGCTGTCTGGGTGAGGATGAGCTGTCGTGGCCTTGGTTTGAAGCCGTTCCTGTCATACTTAATTATTGGGACACTATACTGCAGTAACACAAAATACAATGCAGTGAGTCATGTTTAATGTGGTGCTGTATTTCCTCTGGGTGTATACTGACATTACCTTTATGTGCTCATGGCGAATCATCTGGATGACCCTCGCATTTATGTCGTTTTCACCTAGAAGTATAAAACGATGTCAGAAATGATTAGTCAAAATAAAATGTCACTGTGTGTGAATGTATCGGATACTTACTGATTCTGGTGTCCATGAACGGTTGAGCCACACTCTGTGGATAACTGTCCTTTTTGCCCTTGAAGATGGAGCTGGTAAGAACCTTCAGTTGAAGCTGATGGGACAGAATATAAAAAGTTAACCATCACAGACACTACAGATGATAATCCAGTTTTATATAATGTGTGTATTACCTGTGCTTTTTTCTGGGGTGTGATTCCTTTCACATACTTCCGCACCATAAGACGGTAGTGAAGCTTACGCAGTATCTCTGATGCCTGACAAGAACAAAAAGATGCACAGGCTCAAATTAAAAAGTTAGCTTCTGTTTAATGTGCTTTACAATGAAGCTGATGAATCGCTGTACCTCTGTCAGCACAGCTGGTGGAGACAACCAGGTGGTTTTATCCAGAACAGTCTTTGGTAGATTGTCTTTAAGCCTGTTCAAGTAACTTTGCTTCACAAAGGCCAGGTATTCTGAGTTATCAGTGACCTTTGCCTGCCCTCTGGTCATGTAACCTTTGATGAATCTGAAACAGAGTGTAAACTATAGTATAAGTGAAAATGTGACACTAACCTTGAGACTAGCTGTGCAATGATATTGTAAGACTTTCATCTTTTTTCTTACTTCCTGATGACTTTGACAGCCCATTCTCTCTTCTCCCTCTCCTTCCTAGCCTGCGCTCCTCTCCAACATGTTTCAATCTTAGTGGCTGAGGATAAAATATATAATACAGGGTGTGCAATTTTCTTTTACTCACATAACAAATCCGTATAGTACATTCTGGTCTAGATCACGTGTTGTGATATTTACCTGCTTCTTTTTGTTTCTTGAATTCCCCCTTTGTCCTGTATCCTTTGTATTTGGCCTGTAGCTTTGTTGCTGCAATTTCAAAGCATAAAAGTAAATCACTATGCAGCTAGTGATGAATGAAAATGAATCGCAATTGATTTGCACTCACCCAGTTCATGTTTACATTTTTCATAAGCATCCTCTGTGGCATAAAGTGTTCTTGGGTGACGGATGAATATTTTGGTACTGTTTTGGTAAGAAAAAATGTGTTTTGGTTACTCCAGGCTTAAACTGCCTTTGCTCAGCTGTATTTAGTAAGTGCTGTCCTCACCGTCCCATTTTGTACTCAAATGGCAAGTATCCCAGATGTTGAGCTAGCAATTCCACTCCATCAGCAGGGTCTCCTCTCCAGTGAGGCCATGTGGCAGGACACAGTGGTTTATATCTGTAAGATGCAGCAAACAACTTACTCAGCTTGTCTTAAATGTACTGGAAAGGAACTACTTGAACTGAGGTTTTTAATTTAAAAATCAAGCATAAGGCCCAAGCTCTGTGATCCTTCATGCCTCTTTAAGAAGTCTTCATATTTGCGTCTGTAAGCAAAACCAGTTCGTCTGACTCTGAGGTGCTCCATCAGACCCAGGTACTTCACCTGGTGCCTGATCAGTGCTTCGTCAAACTGACCTGTGATTGTGTGACAGGGACAAGGATCATCATCAGTCAAACATCTCCATCATGTTAACAAAACAGCTGCATGTACTTTCTATTAATTAAAGTACCTGGTTGCTTGGACTCATTAGATTTTAGGCAGCGTATGTACCAGGCCTCTTTAGCCATGAGGATCTCTGTCAACTTCAGCAGGCTGCTCTTAAACTGGGTCGCCACCTACAGATACAACATGAGGGTAATAACCCCCCACAGTTCATCTGTCAGATACATATGGCTTAATCATGACAGTTTTTGGCTCATTTGTTTCTTTGTACATTGCATGCATTTTTTTACTCTGCAAAAAATGTATGTATTACATTTGTCCCTTCTGGGCTACAATCCTTCCTTGAGTACATTTAGTGTTTTTATGAGCCTTGTAAATTGTTTGATGATATGGTTGCAGGTTTGCACCATGTCATCTCTTAATTGTCACTGCGTATGAAAAGACCTCCTTCTGCACTCTAATGCCAAAAAAGATCTAGGATGTATTCAAGTCTGAGCTGTTGTATAGCCCTGAGGATGAAACATAGTTTAACTGATGTATCTGATTTGTTGTTGGTACAGATGAGGGAGACGGACACTCACTGTCTCTGGTCTTCGCCTGTTGTCTGGATCCATCGTGGAAAAGCACTCTTTGACTATGGCATTTTTAGACTGACACATCAGCTATGAGAAGGTGGGTTAACACAAACATTAATACACATAAAATGTACCATAATGTTGATAATTAAACATTTGTTTGCCAAATATCATATACTGTATCTTTGTCTCATATAATATAAAGTACAAAATTGCAGACTTACATCTTTTATGTTTCTGTATAACAGGTCATTATTTTTGTCCAGAAAACCTAGAATATCACAGACAAATAAAACAGTAAGAGTCTAAGGGCTGTTTGTCATTTAACAATAAAAAGATTTAGATGTTAGTGTAACAGGGCTTGAGCTTGTGGTTCCTTTTACCCACAACACAGTAGGTGACCTCCCCAGCATAATGCAAGAGACGGAAATCTCCCCTCTCCAGAGTCTTACGTGTCATTTTGTCAGCCAGCTTGTGCCTACAGTCAGAGAAATATGGATGCATGAAGAGTGAAAGGCTTTATAGAAGAATCCTCATTGCTCTCAGCTCACTGTCAACTCACTCACAAGACACCAGTCAGTAGATCATTGATACTTGCACAGTATCATTTAGACGTATTTGTATTTAATTAAAACAACCAAGTGTGAATATGGTGTTATAAAAAGTATTCCACTGCCATTTTAAAAAGGTGGTTTTATCTTAACAAATACAAAAAATATCACGCATAATTTCTTTTAGATTGTTTGGTAGGTTCAGTCAACTCACGTGACAAAGTGAGGGTGACTTCCCATCTTTTCTTGCAGTCTCTCCAGGAAGGTGAGGTCTGTGGCATCTCCTGGTCTGAGACACTCCTCATCCTGCAGGACGTTTATTAACACAGAACATGGTTTCACATGGCAATATATTACAGTAGCACTGTTGGCTTTATAAGCTGCTGAGTAGTCTGTATACTCTATGTCAGCTAGTACACACCAGTATGGAAATGATTCCTGTGTGTCTTTCCTCAACCAGATCACAGATGATCTTGTTATTGAAGAACTGTACTGGCTCCCACTGGGAACAAATTATTTAAATTTAAAAAAGATTGTAAATGGACCTCCTCAAAGCCAGTCAATATCATAGTCACTCATCCTTTGTCCTCCCCAAGTTTTTGCATTTCAGGTAAATGAGTTTACCTCAATATTCTCTGCTTCATATTCTTCCTGCTCAGCCTGGAGTGTCAACTGGATAAAAAGCTGCTGCAGCTTCTCATTGCAGTAGTTTATACAGAACTGCTCAAAACTGAGGAAGAAGGGTCGTGACAAACAAGTCAAGCTCATCATCATCAAAAAAAAAGTCCATCATCACATCATCACAGAATCACTTATAAATTCATGGTAGTAGTCAATCTCAGCTGTTACTGGTTAAAAAGGCTTAACTCAGCCTTCAACAGGGTATGAAACATAATCAAAGCAGTGCCACAGTGTAAGAAATTGGAAAATATTGTTGCCTACCTGTTTACATAGAAAACCTCAAATCCATATATATCCAAAAGCCCTATCACAGTCTTCCTGGAAGAGTCCTGGAGAAAAAGATTTGACACTCTAAAGTCAGTCGGTAGTCATCCTCACTACCTTCAGTTTCTCACATACTCTTCTTCGCACCTTGTTCTCCATGGAATCATTGATCTTGTTGACCAGCCAGGTGAAGGTCTGTCCGTACATGGCTTTGGCCAGGGCATCTCTGACGTAGACGGCATGATCAAGTGTGAACGGGCTGAGGACCTTTACAGTGAGACAAAACCATAAGTGTATATCTGACACTATATAGAACATTTAAATAGAAACACAGTTAATAAAACTGAAGGACATTTGCTTGCACCTGATCTTTATGGGCGTCAATCTTCTTGAATGTCAGTCCCTCTTGAAGAGTGTAAGCATCTACCCCTAGTAGCTGTCAAGAAAAATCACAGAGTGAGTGTCTTCTTTGACTTTTTGTAATAATGAATATATGGAGAATAATTAGAGCTGTCTTCTTACATTTGAGACCCAGTGTAGCTCCGCGTTGTTGTTCAGGAGGGCATGGCCTTTATTGTCAGAGTCAAAGTGAATGTTCCCCAAATGGAGGACGATTGCAATGATTCCAAACAAGTGCTACCCAGAATAAATATTTTTAAGGTAATACAAAACTAGCATGGATGAGTGGTCATTTAAATAGGAACATCAGCAAAAGCATGCAACTTACATTAGAGGTAATCTCATCAATGTCGATGACTTGCAGTGCATTTTTGACAGATTTCCAGTCATTTTTGTCATTAATGGAAGACACAGTGGCGCACTGTCCCTGTCAGAAACATTAACATCACAGCAGACTGTCAACGTGTACTACTACTACTACTACTACTACTGTCTTGAATCTGCAGGGTCAATGGCATACTTGTGTTAGATAGCTGTAATGCTGGTAGCCTCTCTCCAGACCCATTTGCTGCAGCAGGTTGTCCTCTCCTCCTTCCACTAACTGGTAGAAGATGTGGAAGTTTCTCTCCCCATGATTCTGATGCACAACCCTCGACTTCTCCAGCAGGTAGTTCAGGATATGACCTCCCACAGCGTCTCCCTAAGGGCATCATGATCCTAAAGACAGCAGCTCTACAACTTGCAGAAAAAACATAGCCTGTGGTCCAGTGGCCAATTTTAAACCATCTTTTTAGGATTAAGCATCTGCTTATTGAAAGCTACTTTTTCAATCCTATGAAAGAAATATTGGTATTCATCAGAATTAGTGTACCGTCCTCTATTTATTTGTTTGTTTGTTTATTTATTTATTTGAGACAGTAATTTCTGTTTTTTTAGATGAATAAATTGAACCTTGAACCATGAGAGAAGTTCTTTAATTTGTTCTACATGATGATAAAGTTGCACTTGTATTAAAATTGTTGAAAAATATGCTTCTAACTGATTTGAACCTTTTCTTCCAAATCAATGTAGCATTTAAGATAAATATTTTACTGTTAAACGTTTGTCATTTTATTTCACTTATGCCTTCGATAATAAAAATAAGGCAACAAATTAGACCACGGAGCGGCACAGCAGTGCGGTGGTTAGTGCTGTCGCCTCACGGCAAGAAGGTTCCAGGTTTGATCCCGGGCCAACCTGGGGCCTTTCTGTGCGGAGTTTGCATGTTCAACCATGTTCTTGGAGAAAAACTATCAACTAAAACTATAAATATCTCCGGCTCAACGTCAGTCAGTCAGAACAGATGAAGCCTCTTGGATGAGAGGTGAAACATCTTCGACCTAGAAAGTTTTTTTCACCTTACTATGACCTGGATGACTAAGAATCTGCACAGACTTAGGTTGACTAGCAACTCAAAATTGCCTGTAGGAGCGAGTGTGGGTGTGTGTAGTCGTTTGTGTACATGTCGGGCCTGTGATAGACTGGCGACCTGTCCAGGGTGTACCCCGCCTCTCACCCAATGTCAGCTGGATTGGCTTCAACCCCCCCCCATTATCTATAAGTGGTATAGATAATGGATTGATGTATGGAAATTAGACCACAATCAACCATCTCCAAGTTACCGTACCAAAGTAAGTATATGATCGAAAGAGAGAAAGATCTATTTGACACATTTGTAAGAACTTATGAGTAGGTTGCAAAGGTCAAGGCAAATTCTGGAATTTTAAAACAAGAAAGCTTCTCTTCTTCTCTTCTCTTCTGTCGAAGTGTCCTTGGGCAAGACACTGAACCCTCAAGTTGCCCGTGATGGCAGCGCATACGCATGCAGTGGCCCGGGGCCCTTGGCTCCAAACAAAATTTCATTGTACGCATTACAATGACAATAAAAGAGGATTCTTCTTCTTAACTTTTTTTTTTGTCTAAAGTAATTTCTTAAGATCTATCTTAAGCACATTTCTGTGACTCTGCCCCCCAATCCTCACCTGGCTGTCAAACTGAATATCCATGTACTTCCCAAACCGACTTGAGTTGTCATTTTTTAATGTTTTTGCATTCCCGAAAGCCTGCAGGAAAACACAAGCACATCATACATGTTAGTGTGACCTGTTTTTTGGCATGTAATTAAAATCAGTTGTATAATATTAAGTAAACATCAGACCTCTAGTACAGGGTTGGACATGAGCATTTTGTCCCTGACAGTGTTCAGCAGAGTGGTGCTTGGACAGCTGACAGCATAATACTGCAAAATCTTCTTGGAGGCCTCAGTCTTCCCTGCTCCACTCTCACCAGAGATGAGGATGAAGTGATTGTTAAACTCTGTCAACATGGTGTGGTAGGCATTGTCTGCCAAGGCGTAGCTGCAGGGATACAGAGTAATAATAGTATTTCACATGTGAATTGATGAATTGGAGTGTCAGGGGTTCAGTGTTTTAGTCAGACACTGTATGTTTTCACAGACGTGCACCAGTATCTTCACATCACAGATGCAGATTGTACACTCACATGTGTGGTGGAAGTTCAAAAAAGTTGACACCCATGTAGATAGCCATCTGTTTCTTATTGTAGATATCCAGCTGTTTGTAGGGATTGACAGACACTAACAATGTGCCAATGTAGGTCTAAAAGAAGGAGTTAAAAGTTATTATATTTATGCATTAAAGATGTGCACATGTTTGTTGATGGTAGGTTTTAAGTAGTCCTTTCCCAGACTCACATAGATGAGATCTTTGCAGAAGCGTTTCTTGAGGTTGCTGAGGAAGGCTGTCTCTGTGGTTTCATCCAAAAGGACAAAATCCTGGATTCCAACTCGGTCCCTGGCAGTCAGGGCACCTTCCATGTCCAGCTGACCCTGTGCAAAAAGGCACAGCCTCAGAGCAGTGGGACCAACTTTTAAAAGTTTAAGTGCAAATTCCTGGTGTTCAGCATCATATCTGCAGATTTTTACAGTTCTAAACACATTTACAGCACCATTGCACATGCAACACATAATTTAAGTTTGAGTTAATAACTTCATAAATATGTGCATGTATAGCTAAGGTTAATCCTGCACGTTTAAGAAAGCAAACTCTCCCAAAGCACCAAAAACAGATGTGACATATTTTTGCAGGCATAACGATGATATTCTAAATTCTTGTTTTGTATTTTGACAAATGCAGCTGGATGAATGGTGTGGGGAATGGGGGTGAAAAAAAGCACCAGAAAAAGCACAAACATGGTCCCTATTAGTTCTATTGTGGAAAGAGGTCTAGAGGTCCTATGTGTCTTTGAAGCAAAGCTCTGTGATTGTGCAGATGAACAGACAGAAGCTAATGATCGTTACACATCACACAGGGACTTTGGCTGGAATCCCATAGCTCTCTAGAGCCGATGCACCAACCAAACACAACACACTGTGCAAATGGACTCAGGGAACCCAAAACAGCAGCACATTTATGAAGCGTAGTGGGAAAAATTCCACCAATCTGTTTTGCATTCTCAGCATCAACACTTAGACCAAAGGTTTTCACAGCTTTTGTTGGTTTTGTACTTTTTTCCCTCTCTCCTTTGGAAGCAGAAATCCTTTGATTCTGAACTCTCTATGTAAAAACATAAAAAAAAAAAAAGATAATCCATTGGATCTAATTGACACAAAGCCCTCCGTCCCCCATCCTCCCATGCCTCTATCCTTCACCTATGGCCCTCTATTCTTCTGAGAAAGGCCAAGTGTTTTTGTCCTGCAATACCATGGAGCAGAGACAAAAAAGACATCTTTAAAATGCAGTCTACAATCCATTACACATATTCCCCCTGCATATCCATTCAGTAATTATTCATTAGAAAACATTTAACGTCACAGTGAATTTCACACTAAGCAGTCAAAACACAATAGATGAGATTTGGCCTATTTTGGGGTGAGGAGTTGGGGAGGGGTTGGCTGTACAGAGGAAGGATGAAGGTGAAGGAGGGGGAAAGAGGGGAGCAGTATTTGTCTGATCTGAGAACCTCTGAAACAGGGACGTCTTGAGACAACAGGGCAGACTAAATAGTGCAGTAACGGTCTGTGCCCCGCTGCTTGCTGTGACACTCATTTAGTGTGCCCCGAGGGCGAACAATAGAGGCTTGTTCTTAGCAATCCTGTGCTGTAATTTGGACTTCATTACTTTGCTCACATGGGGCCCCATGCAAGGATGGAGGAGGCTAGTCAGCTGAGTGTTTTTTCCATCTGTCAGACCTGCACCCCCAGTGCTCTCACCCCTCTCCTCAACAATGCCCCTTACCCTGTGTCCCCACCAATATCCCTCACCCGACCCCCTTCCCATAGCCCCTAGAACACCCCCCACCCATTTTAAGCCAATGAGACAGGTGAACAATATCAGTGAAGAAACCCCTTTTTGGACGTCAGAATCAATCTGGCAATGTGATGGTAGTGGTGCTGGTTTGGTGTATGTGTGACACCTCCTTTCTTCATGGGAACAAACTTCTCTCAGGGCAGCACAAACAGACAATATGTTGGGACAGCGTGACTTAGGGATCTGCCATACAGTATTACAAGTAATAACATGAACAGATAAGCTCCTGTCAAGAGGAGGATTAAGGAATTCAGTGGTGATAATAATGCCAATGTTTTAGGCTTTCATTCAGTGCACTGAAGAAAATCTAAAGGTCTATTGTTTTCCATTCAGGTTTCCTTTGGTGTCCTGCAGGTATTTCTTTTCTAACAACACACTGCTAGAAAGGCTGAACACTGAATGGCCATTCTCAGTCCAGAATGTCAAGAAAGCCCGAGTTGAAGAAAGCATGTGACTATAGAAAAAAAGTTTTCCCCATGCATGTGTTATTTGTAGCTCTATATTATACAAACCAAGTGGACTGGATTGTAATTCTAGTTATAGTTAAACAATAAACAACCAAAACTGATGCACGGCGGAAAGAATAATTATGTAATGAATCCACTAAGCCACTGTCAGATCAGGTGAATTGCCTTATCTCAGTGCACAAGCACGTGTATTTTAATTAAGAGATGGTCCCTCATCGTGGTCTAGAGTGTCAGTGTCTCCTGAGACAGAGTGACATCTGTGTGAGACGTAAAGGTAGATTTAGACGAGGTGGGGATGGGGGTTCTGCCTGATTATCTGTCATGTTGGTAATATCTTCACTTAACCCCAAAGGTCTACAGCCAGCTCCTAGTTAGGTTAGCATAGAAAGACAGAAACATAAATGGGTGAAACAGCTAGCCTGACCCAGACCGAAGATAAAGTCTGCCTACTAGCATTTCCAGTGCATAATGCATTATGTTGTACATGTGCAGATGCTGAGTAACCAGTGAAGACTACAGGACATCAGGAATGGCCCAACACAAATCCCCACAAAAAACTCAAATGGATGTTTTTATAATGAGTTTGTTTTAAACAAATTTAACAAACAAACAAGATATAAAGATATTGTGACCGTTAGAGGTACTGGTAGGCAGATTTTGTTCAAACTGTTTCTACCTGTTTCAAGTTTTTGTATTAAGATACCTAGAATTATAATGGCACTAGGATTATTTCAGCCTGAAGACGCCTTTGGGAAACAAGGCACTGGTCTCAGCGTCACTCACAGAACATAAATTCACACTGAACTTTCAAGCTTATCAATTCTGTGATAAACTGCAACAACCGATTTGAAATGAAATAAAGCAGGTTTGGTGACAGAGCAAACATATGACATTTTTACAACACAAACAAAAACTCAAACCTGCATTTCTGAAGTTGTATTATTCTGCAGTCAAATGCAAAATCTCAATAAGGGTCCAAACTGGGGGAAAAATCCCTTCTCTCCTGTGAAGTTAAACAAGAATGGCGTTTCCACCTGTGTCTGCTTGCATAGAGACAGTTGGTAAACTTGTAAACACTGGATTCTTGACAGTTAGTTGGCAAAAGCGCTGTTTGTATAATGCTAGTAAAAAACACATTTGCTGTCCTCTGTGTTCTTTCTAGTAGCTCATTCATCCGGGATGTGGTAGTAGTACAGGGCTGATGATGCCGTGTGTGTGATTCTGTGTATGCACATCATCTTTACCCAGTCTTAGAGCACTGTGGGTTTGGTGCTTAATCATTTATGTCATGGGAGGTGGAGGGACAGAGATCTTATTCAGTGCTTACCTGGGTATCTACTGCTCTACTGAGTGTAACATAATGATACAGAAACAAGATCCAAACCACAGCAATCCAACCATCCCCCTGTTCCATTTCTCTTTCTTCTCTGTGTCTCCTTCTCTGTATCTGTAAGCTCCATTACATCACAACCAACGGCAAAGAAGTCCCCAGTCTCTTTCCCCCTGCTGGCACAGCCAAGGTTGGTGATCTTTGATTAGATGACTACGTGACAATCTAATCACCAACTCCTAATTTTTTGCTGGGGTGAAAACAATTACATGTAGGGTAAGGAAGGAATGACATGGATGGGAATGAATAAATGAATGAAGGGATGCACAAGATCTTTGGCCAGACCAGAGACGATGCAATTTGTGGTCATTGCCTTAAAGCCGCAGGCCACCAGGGTGTCCCTTGAGTCTGTAATTGGCCTATAACTTCATTGCACCCAAGGGGACATTTCTCTTGCACCCAGGTGAAACAATAAAATCCACAACAAAATATGACATTAAAATACATAAAACATATCATAATGCAGTAATATTTCAAATATACACTACCACTCACCAAAAAAACTTGTAAAACAATCCTATCAATAAAAAAAAAAGGTTCCTCAGAAATCTTTGCAAATAACACAAAGTATGCACATGCAAAACAGTTTTGACAAGACCACTGAAATCGACAGGAGATGGTTCGACTACTTAAAAGAGTAGTTACACTGAGAGAACGTTGCTTTCCCTAAAACCGTGCTGCAGCATGAATACAAACAAGGCTAGAACAGCGGTACAAAAGGAACACAAAGCTACATATACAGTATCTCTGCAGTTTGAATATAATACTTTCAACTAGATGCTTAATCATGCACTGACTCATGGTGGGGAAATTCTTCAGCCTGGACTTTGTTTTGAGGCTGTCTGTATTCATTAACAGTGGATATATCATCAATGACTTGAAATTTCTCAACAATATTAGCCTGTTTTCGTTTGTGTATAAAAACAGCCACATGTTGAAGTAGCTACACCTTGTGGTAAGATACTGGGTGGGAGTAATAATGTGTTTAACTTTGCAACCTGGTAACTACACATAGAAAACAAGCACCTATCTTCAAGTTAACCCAGGTGTCAAGTTTCTCTTCCCTTGCAATCTAAATATGAGAAATGCTCAGGTTCCACCCTGTCTATGGCTTGATTAATGTCTGGAAAGCATTCAGTCAAATGGCTATAATGGGCAACCAGATGAATGTCCAACATATGTGAATTATTCACTCGCCACTCCAGAAAAGTTGTCAAGGTTACCTGTGCCGTTGCCCCACCTCTCCCCAGGCCCAGCAGCCCAGCCATGCTTGTCCAATCTTAACAAGCTTTGTGCTACCCACTGGGCTCTGATTCAGCACGAGACCCGGCAAATCCAATTACACAGGAGTCAGAGAGGTTGATTTTCCCATTATAGATTCCATGCTGAGAATGAGAGCTGATGATAACACTCACATCACACCACTATCCCCCCCTCCCGCTCGTCTCCCTGTCTTATTTTGTCTCCATTTCACCGTTCTCTCCCTTTTTATCTCTTTCTCTTCCTATCTAATTCTTCTTTTCCCAAAAACCTTCTTTCTTCCCCTATCCCTTTCTTTGGACATCTCCTTCAAATCTGAATTTTTCAGAGCAGCGTAACGAAGGCTGGACCCCATCATCATTTTATTCTTAAAGTGCTGGGTCAGAAAGGTTACTTCATACTCTGTAATGGACACTTTACTTAGTCTTGCTTCTGAAATAAGACAGCTATATACAGGAACATTATTGTGCTTACAGCTAGACTTTGTTATTCTATTAGACAGTTTCTCATTTTCTGTGCACCCTGAGGCCTTGGTCCATATTGCATTACCTTGGACTGACAAATTTCACAATAACAACAGAACACCCACTGTCACACCAGGAATAAAATATTTGTCAGCCCACATGACCTCTGAAAGATCATTGCTAAAATTAAATCCATGGTAATTCAGACAACTTGACTTAGGGATGTCTAAGTGCCATCTTGAGGGGACACCATGTGCCTGCTGTAGCGCATAAAAAGTAAATGAGAGCTCTTTTGGAATCGAGGCTCTTCACGCTCAATCAGCTGTGAAGGCGAAGAGGACTTTTGCTTCATCTTTACCCTTTAGGGCACTAAAAAGGACCGACCAGAAGCCGTGGTGTTGACACAGGTCACTCAAAAGTCAGCACCACTGACCTGTGTAAACCTTAAAGATAGGCTTCTCTGTGATCCTTCAGGACAATAGGAGTGGGAAGTCCAGCAGTCTGTGGTCCACCCTGTCAAACAGAAGAGGATGATGTGATGAGACCTGCAGGGATATTTGTGATTGATCCATACGCTGTCTGTGCATAAAACACCCGCTGAGGCTCAAACTCTCCATTGTTCACTACATGCAAACAGATGGCTGAAGTTTGATATTGGTGGAAGAAGCATTCAGATCCTTTACTTTCCGAAGGAAAACTAGCAGTACAATACTGTGAAATAAAAATCCTGCATTGAAAATATGACTTAAATAAAACATTACAATATCGAAAGCAGAAATATTCATCTTTGAAATAACAAATGGCCCTTTTGAGTGTGTGTGTGTGTTCTTGTACTTGCTATATAGTGAGGACCAAAAAAGTATTTTAGCCACAGAGTGAGGACATTTAGGTCTGTTGTGCCTGCTGGCTGATTGACACACTGTTATGACTGCTGGCTTCCTTTTTTATTACATAATAACCTCAGTCATGTTGAGTTGCACTTTCAGTACACTATGATATCATTCAACATTAAAAGTATTACACCCTTGTTTTACAGCAAAGTTGTGAAATGAACACATAACACTACATATACAACTTAATGCTGGTGTTATTCATCATTTAGCCAAGTCTTGTTCTGTGAAGGTGTCACTGAAACCTTCTGTAATTTGTCGTTGACTGACACTCTGCTCCATCCAGGTTAAAGCTTCAGTGGGTAAATAAAGTATTTGGCAGGACCCTGATGCTGCTCATTGGCTAGGAATGGCTGGCAGCAGCTTCCTCTGTGTGGCCAGAGGGTCACATTGGGTGGGATGCTATTTTGGAGGACACTGTGTCTCTGCCTGCAGAGGAGATTAGAGGGTTGAGCCGACCTCGTTCTCAGAGGGTCTGAGGTGTTCTGACTAATCATTTAGTGTAAGACAAAAACACAGGCTACAAACTCAGGCCAACCCTCAGATGGTGAGCCTATTGTTTCCCTATTGCTCTGAACAGGCATGAGAGAGGATAGCAGTCACTGTGTGATCCTGAGCTCTCATGGGTCTCAGAGCTGCCCACAGGTTGTTGTCATTACCTTAACAGTCCTAAATATGTAACATGGCCATCAATAAATGTTTTACTTAAATCACCATGATTTACTAAAGGCATGCATAGGTGCACAGGGACAGAATAACAGAAACACCCTACATTAAAACAACATTTTTAGAAGCTCATAATGTTGCTTTTAGCCCTGCGATGGATTGGCGACCTGTCCAGGGTGTACCCCGCCTTCGCCCAATTGCCGGCCGGGATTGGCTTTTCCACTGCATGACAAATTCTGTAATTTAGCAACAGGGAAAGGCCTGAGGGTCACTTTTGGTGGTGATGTAGAAAGAACTGTGGTGTGGAGGGAAAACGCATCCAACAAAACTGCATTACGGAGATGAACAGTGCTCATAAATAGACTCAAAAGAAATGCTGAATGAAACACACATTACATACATAGTGTATGTAATGGTATTTTAAGACAGAAGTGACTATAAAATTGGATAATCATCTGTAAATTGAATGCCTTTCTACCAGTGGTGGAAAGTAACTATACTTTTACCTGAGTACGTACTTAAGGACGCTTTTGAGGTACTTTGAGTATTTCCACTTCATACTTTAACTTCACTACAATTCTGAGGCACATATAATACTTTTTACTCCACTACATTTATGCAGTAACTTCGGTTGCAATAACACTAAACGCAATATAATCATACGACTTTACTGATCCCTGGTGAGCAGGTCACACGCTACCCAGCAGTAACTTAAATCAGAATATGTTGCTGAAGACCAGTGTGAACCTGTGGCATTGATATGCTATGGTCATACTGGCAACTTAATTAGGGCTATAGGATCACCATCGTCTTTATGTCCATCACCAGCTCTTGAGCACGCCCTGCTCCAAAGTTTCTTTCCTGTCACCAGATGAACCCCGCGGGTTTTAGGACCTCCAGGATCCGCTCTCTCTCAGGATGGTCTTGTTTTTGTCCGTTGCCTTCATGCATGCAATCATTGATTGTGCCTATTGTGACGGGCCGATTTACCATCTGTAGCGTCCCATGGGACTGATACTGCTGTCTGTGCAGTCTCCCTACAGACATTAAGGGGTTCTTCTTTAATTTCCGGTTGCAAATTTAATCTCAAACAGGTTTCACATTCAAATATGGTAGTATCATACCTGAAGCTTTAGTTCCCGGCATTACCGGTGGAAAAAAACCTTTTCACTCACCGATTTGTGGAGCTCCGTATGGTAAAATCGTTTTGTCATTTTTAAGCCATCAAATTGTAAAAGTGAGACATACGGGTTGGAAACCCAGTTTCTTGCACAAATAAATAATGCTTAAACTTTTGCATGGGGGCACCCTTGACCTCAGTGGACTTTAAACTTATTCAGTTTTTAATGATGGTTTTGCATTCGTTCAGGCATTCCAAATAGTTACACAAACGGTCACATGCTTCTTGTTTTTAATAAAAGATCTGCCATTGTGCATACATTACAATGAAATGCATATTTAGCCTATAATTAAGTTTTTTTTAACAATTCATTTGGATCTGGGGCATTATGTTTCCTGGACTGGCCAAGACAGCACTCTATCTGTCTTCATGCCACAGGGTTTTTTTCCTTAAGTGGACCTGCTCTCCAGACGAGTGTGAGACTTTTCCGCGTCCTGCTGCAGCTCACCCGGCCCCCTGTTCTCCCCATTGGCGCCTCCCCGGCTTCTTTTCCCACTGCTGAGAGGCGCAGGACGCGGCCACAGCGGCGGGAAGCAAATTATCTACAAGCACTTCCCTTAAAAAAAAAAAAAGTTCACACACACACAGATGCCACCACAAGTAGCGACTCACATCGTCTTAGACCTTTACGAGGCAGCTTCCTGGGAATAACCTGACAGAAGGATATAGTATAACAAAATGTTTAATTATTATTCTTCCTTTATTCGTTTAAGCCAGGTGTTTTCTATTGCCTTTGTTTCTGTCCTTTTCGCAGTCCGGTTCCACAACTTTAAAATGCTCAACATTTTTGCCATACTGTTCAAATAGCTTGAGCAGGGTTTGGGCCTGAACTCGTATTTTGTGTTTGATTGAGACGCACAGGGCGCAGCTGTGTGCAGCTGGAGAACAAGAGCACAAGATAGGGTAAGACAGTCCAGGAAATTCCTTTATATATGCGATTTGATCTCTTTAATAATTATCAAATAAGAGGACTACAATGCCTTAATGGCCTGACTTCTGATGCAACCAACGCGTTTTGCTGCTGTTGGATGCAGTGGAGGAGCGCACCACGACCGCACTGAGACACAAAGCCCCCAGAAACTGAGAGACAAATATCGCTACTCCTGCACTTGCTGTGGGAAGTGTGGATACTGTCGGGACTGTTAGCAGGCACCGCATCTGTCAAACTCATGGGATCCTCTTGCCCCCCGGGCCAGTGGGAGCTCTGCTGAGGGCTCCACTGCGCATGTCAGAGAGCTGGACAGCTCCAGAGAGGGAAATTTAAAAACGGTTTCTGGAGAATCAAGGGCAACACCGTGAAATACAGTACAGGGGCTCACGACTGGCTCACACAATCTTCAGTATCATCCAAAACAGGTGATTTTGTTTTATGATTTTTCTGTTTTAGCGTCTTTATAAACCAATTGACATTTTAATGATTTTAGACTTTAGCCATAATTTTCTCTGTAGGTAAATGAAGACATTTAAATCTATGCTGCATTAATGTGACAGAACTGTTATGTAAACCGTAGAACTGAATGTTTATTGAGTACAAATCTATATGATTCTGTTTGTTCTATGCATTTTTATTTTTTTTATTTCTGAGAATTAAGGGGAACAAAAACAGTCTAACAGTAAAATGGGCTTTGGCTTCAACAAGGCATCCTGATTTCAGAAATAAAATGTTGGCTTCTACTATAAATTTATTTTTGAGCTTTATTCTTGGGTCTAGAATGTTGGCTTTTTATGGGGCATTTTAGCACATACAGTCTGTTTATTTACTAAAGAAGACTCTGAATATTTTTATTGTAGTAACTACTTTTACATTTCCGCTTGAAGAGCCACTGAGGGCATAAACTAGAGAATGTTAATTTTATTTATCTCAATGCAGACATATCACATATCACAGGAAATGATAGAAGGTGGAATAACATCCAGGATGTCAGGAATAATTGAGAATGCTGGGCACCATCCGTCTCCACAAGACTACAGGTGAGAGAGACCTCTGATTTAAAACTTGTTCAGTTATGTTAGGACAAACAGTTCCAGGGTTTTCAAGCTGTAAACAACCCACATATATTTTGTTTCATATTGTCAAAAACACTCAGGATCAAATCTGCAATGCCTCAATAGATAAAAGGCATGTTTATATTAATCAAATCCCTTAAGGTGTTTTGCAAAGAGTCATGGAACAAATTGTCTAATCCGTTTAATCTAAAATAGACAGACAGCTCTTTTTGTGCATCGGAGTTGCATGAAAAAGGAGAGAGGAAAAAATCCTGAAGAATAAATGATTTTCAGTCTGAATGGATCTGTCAGAAACCATCAGCTCTGTTTACACTCCCGCTGTTGGCACAAGGAGAGCCTGAACCTCTTGGCCTGCCGGCTCAGGGGGAGATGGGGAGCTCTGGGTCACCAGTGTGCACAAGTGGCTCCCAATTAGAAAAGCAGGGAGGCAGGGGTGCTATATTTCATGTTGCTGAAACTCTGGGAAGGCTTGGATGATGCATGGAGACATCAGCTCTACACGTTTTGCATCAGTGAACAATTTATGTGCTGCTGTTAGACAGGAGGGGAAGTGAGAACACCCCAAAATGTGCCATCATTTATAATTGATAATTGTAACCTTCTGTAGATTTGTGAAGCAACAATGTAAAACACTGGCTAATAGCAAATATTTTACATAGTTGATCCACACATACACAGTGTATACAAATCTACTTTTGTGCTTTTTATAGCTTAAAAGACAAAAAGGAAAAATGTCTCTGCAACTGTAGCACTTTCAACATTTAACTAGTCATAGACCTTCACTTTACACTTGAAAATTATTTCTTCAGCAAGGCAGAGAAAGGAATAGAAGTCATTTTCACAAAGGCTAATGCCAACTTCAAAGCTCCAGTGTCACTGTGATACTTTGCAGGGTGTTAAGTTTTATAATGCCGCCTGCTTCAAGATGATGGCCACTCAGAATCCTGGCACATGCAGTGGTGTTTGAGGATGTATGCTGCAGATTTTTGGCTGCAGTGATGTCACTTATTCAAATGACAAACACAGAGCCCCTGACCTCAAACTACATTTGCACTCCCTCTAGCCCAGGGCTCTGTTGATCTCCCCATTTAGGGATGATGGGGAGGATGATGGAGGGGGGCTGGGGGCAACAGGATAGAGACTGGAAAGGGACAGGCAAGCAGATGGCATCCTATTTGTTCCTCTTATGTGAGGGCTGTCATTCCAGCAGATTAATGCAAGGTCTGGGTAAAGAAAAGGAACGACAGAGACAATCAAGGAAGGATCTGGGGAAGACAATAGAGCCACGTGCCACTGGGCAGATTTGTCGTTTGAGACACAATAGGTGATCATTTTTCAATAGACAAGGCCAACTGTTGGAGGCAACATGTGCTGCTGTCCCATGTTTCAAATGATCTCATGCATTGTTTACTTATGATTCAGCCAATGGTTAAGGAGAGGCTGTGGTCACCTGACACAGGGTTGATTTTTTTTTTTTTTTATTAGGAGATGTGGGGTGTGTGTATGAGGGGGTATACTCCTACACTGTCCACAGACCCACTAAATAACTGAATAGTATGTGTTGTCATAGCGACCCCAATTACTAAACCCTTGCCCAGTAAGTGCGTGCGTGCTGAGAAGACTGGAGAGGGATTCAAGAGGATTCCTCCCTTTTCTTTCGTCTTTTTTGAGGCTCACCACATAAAAGTCATGACTGAAAGCTGATTGGAACCAGCAGCTCACTGGTTAAACAAAAATCCTACATTTATCCAACTTTCTAGCACAAGGTTTATACAATGATGTGTTCAAAAATCTACTGTGTAAAATTTATTTCCTATTTCAATTTTGCATTCACATTCTTCAAAAAAAAAAACAGAACTAATGGAAACTAAGATCAGTGTGTCACTCTCAACAGATGATGTGCTCTGAATGAAAAGCTTGTTTAACCCCCTCAGTGTTGATTAAAACTGCCCCTGCTAAATAACACTTGTAGTCAGTCTTCTTATGGTAAACCCTGGATGGCATGAAGAATACACAGCTTCAAGGAGCAGCTTTCATCTGTTTCCCCACATTCATGCTCATCAGTGGTTTTGACCTTAAGGGACAAAATGTTATATCAAGTGTTTAGATTCAAATCCCACTTGTGGTCTACGTGTGTCCGAGATGACAGCCGTACTAACGCCCCAAATCGACCCCCTCCTCCTCTCTTGAAGGCTTCTGACCACGGACCCCTCCCAGCTGAGGGAGGAGGACCTCCCTGGGGACCTGCAGTCTCTGTCATGGCTCACCTCTGTGGATGTGCCCCGACTACAGCAGATGGCTGATAGCCGAGGCCACAGTAACGGGCCTTCCCAGGGCAGCATGTTGGAGCAACAGACAGGTGAGGTGACAGTGCAACATTCAAAAACCACATCACCTTCCTGATTGGACAAGGCAGGAGTGCTGGATTCTTCTGGATTTCTGGCCTCTGCAGATATGAACACAGTTCTATGAAGTATGCTGAAAGATAAAGAGAAATGAAAACACAAGATGAGCTGTTTGTGTTAACAAAACAAAGTTCAGTTATACTACCGGTAGCTAACATAATGAAATGTATACCTACAAGACTAATTCTCCAACCTTGTACTGGTCAATTGAGAACTTTCTATCACTGTGCAGAAAAATAAGTCAGTTGGTGTCATTTGTAGCCATATAACAGTTTTAAAAGCTGTAGCTGAGCTTCTTCCATGAGGTATTTTTAGTGCTATGAGCACCACAAACCAAATTCCATAAACATCATCTTAAAATTAAAAAAAAACACAACAAACATCAATCAACAGAAATAACTCGTGTTTTTGGGTAAACATTTACTTTAAGACTAGTTTGGATGCTCCTCTTTATAGCTCAGCTGAGCAATATATCAGTGACAACGGGACAGGGCTCCATGCTCCACCTCCAGAGCAACATGCAGCACAGCCCTTTGGGAATCAACATCATTAACACCCACAGCGGAAGTGTGAGTTTTAACAGCCCTGCAAGAAATAAATTTTATGCTTTATGACACATGCAGAGTTTAGTGTAAAATGTCCATGCATTTGTTTCTCAGATGTCTCCATTCTCCATGAATGGCATGCCCTCTCCAGGATACCAGTGCCCTACCTCAGCCTACCAGCCTACACCACAGCAGGTGTACTCTCTAACCCAAACTGGACAACAGGTAACATAATTATTGAAAAGTCTGATTTTATCAACAGAGAAATGATGAATGACACCGTTCCTTCTTCTCTCCTCTCATTTAGGGTTCAACTGATGGGCTTTATAGCAATGTCTCTTTCAACAACCAAAGTCTATTCTCACACCCTCGTTTGGCTCCACAAGAACAGGATCTGCAGCCCAAGTCTTTCCCAAAGCCGATCTACTCCTACAGGTCAGCACACAAACACTTGGCTAGAGTAAAACAAAAACATGCACCACATTTCCTGCATTTCACCCAATCTGCTTCAAACGTCATCGAAATAATTTTTCTTCTCAGCTGTTTGATCGCCATGGCTCTGAAGAACAGCAAAACTGGCAGCCTCCCAGTCAGTGAGATCTATAGCTTTATGAAGGAACACTTTCCTTATTTCAAGGTAGGATACCATTGATATTACAGAAAAGGGCTTTCTAGATAAAGAATGTGGCCAATTTTACACTACCTCTCTTCCTGCAGACAGCACCTGATGGATGGAAAAATTCCGTCAGACACAACCTGTCCTTAAACAAATGCTTTGAGAAAGTGGAGAACAAGACGAGCAGCGCATCCCGTAAGGGCTGCTTATGGGCACTGAACCCTGCCAAAATTGACAAGATGGAGGAAGAGATGCAGAAGTGGAAACGCAAGGACCTTCCAGCCATCCACCGCAGCATGGCTAACCCAGGTCAGAAATGTATTTTGTTAAATTTAAGAAGTCTAATACCCTTTCTGAAAATTGAGATCAGAACTGAGAAAATTGTTTTTTTGCTTGGTCTCATTACCGGTTCTGTTCCTTTCAGATGAGCTGGACAAACTGATCACAGACCGCCCAGAGAACTGCAGACGTAAGGCTTTAGAGCCCACCATGGGCCGGATTCCCAGCTGTCCAACAGGCCTCCCGCTGCCTGTCCCAGCCCAGATGCAGCCTCAACCTATAGTCACACTGTCTCTGCCATGTTTACCCATGCACCAGCACCACCAGCTTCAGGCCCAGCTCCAGGCGCAGGCCCGTCTTGCACCCATGTCCCCTGCCCCGGCCCAGACACCTCCCCTCCATGCAGTCCCTGACCTTTCCCAGAGTCCACTCACCCAGCAGCCCGGCAAGCCCCCAGACGTTTTCTACATCGTGCATGGTGATATGCATACAGAGGTGGATGCACTGGACCCTAGCATCGTGGACTTTGCCCTTCAAGGTAAATACATTCAAAGTATCAGGCCTGTTTTTTTTTTGTTTACTAGATACTTCAAGTGTTGCTGCATCAGAGAACAAACCTCTCTATCTGCTCAGGTAATCTGTGGGAGGAAATCAAGGATGACAGCTTTAACCTGGATGCTTTGGGTACCTTAAGTAACTCACCCCTGCGACTATCAGACTGTGATTTGGTAACAGCCAACCTCCCTCCTGCCTCCACTGGAGCAAATCTGCCACTGTCAGATGTGCAGGTGACAGGCCTCTACGCTTCCTACACTTCCCAGGAGCCCCTGTCATCCCAGTACATGGGCGCACCCGCCAGCAGCAAACCCATCGCCCTGCTTTAAAATAACCGTTTCTAACAGAATCAATGCAACTTATTAGCCTGTCTGTGGATACCTGTGGACGCCAACTGAAGGAATCTGAAGTCTGGTTTGTTTTGTGCTATTAAAAGTACCAATCACACTGCTTTCCTACAGTTAGATGGGAACTACCTGGAGAAGGATGTTTGAAAATCATTTCACATACAGTCCACAAGAAAACTGCTCATTAAGAACCATTGTAAGAAAAAGTATGTAGGACAAAATACTGTATCCAGTTTTGCCAAGCAAAGACTTAAAGCCCGTGCGAGTACAAAGACTGTGGATAAGTGTGTGTAATTTAGCATCCACCAGTTTTTTTTTTTTTTACTGTTCACTCTGCATTTTAAGGCCCCTTCATACTCCCTGTAGCTCCTTGGCTCTTCTTTGTTGTATTGTGCTAGACATTATTGCTGTGATGTTTTATTTATATTTATAAAAGGCGGCTGGAGAAGGTGATGACTTTATCAATCTTTTGCTGTATATATTTGAATGTTTCAAATTACTATCGCCAGAGGAAGGTTTTTCTTTTGACTGCATTTACCCACTTCATTCCAAAATGCAAATGTGTGCCAACACTATGAGTAATCTAGATTTTTAGCATTGTTGATCTACATATGGTGATTAACATGTCTGAAAGTCAGATGTATATCATGTTCATTATCATGTAATAAAAAAAAAAAAATCAAATGTCTGAAAAAAAGAGGCTTTTTAACAGCCTCTGGTATAATACAAGACACATGAAAGAGTTATATACATTCAAATGAAATGTTATGGCTTGTATTTCTGGCACTTTGATCAAAGGTAAGGCAATTCAAGACACCACTGGGGGGATCACTTCAGCGACTAATATCCACATTTCATGAAACCTTAGTTTTAAGAATTACTGTTTAATGTCAGACATACTGACAAAAATGAAAGAAATGCTCCAAAGTATCACATGTAGTGTCACACTATGCCCTGTCATTCATATCACTGCCATTAGCATACAAAAACACAACATACACAGATCAACACATTGAAAGTGGCAATGAAAAAGATGGATGGCTGAGTCCATCAACAGTGAAATGACAAACAACTGCACTTGTGATAGTGCCAAAAAATCAGACACTTCATATATATTTCTGTAGTTCATGCAGAAATACATTTGAAAATTTTATTTTACTGGCTCAGAAATTTGATACTTCATTATTTTCCTTTTCATTTTATTTGCAGATTGATCAAACAAATTGACCAGTTCTCCAAACTTTTTTATGTAAGCTACATTCAAAGAACAACAAATTCTGTTTAATACCTTTCACAAAAAGTAAAAAACGGCACCTACAGTGAGTATTAAGTCTCTCAGATTATTAAGCCTGCATAACTCAGTTGAATGTGAAGAGCCTAGTAAGGAAAATCTATCATTGACACACCACTATGTACAAATACAGCAGTGAGTTGTGCGTTAGTGAGCTGGACTGAGCAGCTAAAATGACAAACTGCTTGTCAATCAAGAGTGGAATAGGTGAAGAGATCCCTGCTAAGACACTATTCAAGAGCAGTGCTGGCAACAACCAGGGCACTGTAGTGGCTTTGTGATCATTGTGGAATAAATTACTCTGTGTACGTGTGCGTTACTGTAAAAAACTGCCCAAAATATAGTCCTAAAATAAATAGTCATACTTTTCCTTTAGCTTTATATTTTCCATCTACTTACCTATACAGTACAATCAACTGAACAGAGCTTTTTGTTAATATAACCTGATGAAGCCCCTCAGCTTAACTGGTGCTGTCCATAGTTGTGAGCAAATGCGCGAGCTTTGCCCTCTGAGACGCAGTAATGTTCTGGCTCATGTGAATGATGCAGTCCATGGCTACATCAGGGTTGGCCTCCACCAGGCTAGAGCACAAGAGGAAAATTATAACACAAAAGGTAGCTTTTAAACATACTTGATCTGATTAAGTGGTGAAAGTCAAGAGGCAGACTGGTCTACAGTGGTTTGCTGTATATTCCACCACTGAATTGTTGGTTTTAGGATAGATTCCTAAAAATGATTGAGATACAGTATATGACCAGTGTAGCTGCAACGTTAAATTCTTTAGGCCATTTTAGCTAAACAAGACCAATCCACAACTAGGAGCCTTATAAGATGTATTAACCAGGGAGTGACATATGGCTTTTTGACATTATAAAATTACAGCAATGGAAACAAACACACATTAATAGGTCTTCACTGTCTCTGCTTACCTGCGGATGACTTTCGTTGCATTTTCTCTTTTCAAGTACTTGATGTTCTCTCGGATAGCCGATCGTGTGCCATCCTCCCTGGACAAGTGCTTCTCAAGCCACTCGACTACTGCTTGGTTATTATCCCAGAGGTAAGCCTGGGAAGGCAAACAGACAACTCAAACTCAAAAACAAATGCATGCTCGTGATTTGTGGTCCACAGAAAAAAAATGGACATGGGATATTGATTAGCTTTCTGGGCATGTCATAATGGTGTTTGTAATGTTCACAGTAAACACCAGGAGTTCAAATGAATATAGTACTAAAACGATAGTTCTGTGGTGGATAATCACACCAATCAAAAAGAATGTACCTTCAGTGCACATAAAACTACAAAAACACTAACATTTGGCCAAATAGCCCTACTTTGGGTGCCTTGTTTTACCTTTATCCACAATATTCACCACTACATGTAGCTTATTAGCACATTATGTGCTAGCTCATGGCATCGTCACACACCTTGACTGCTCCCTCTGTTTCAACAAACCAGCGTCGCAGCATGGACTGCATGTGTCCATCACTGAGGTCCTTGTTGGCCTGCAGGATCTCACGCTTCACCACCTGCTCCAACAGGAGGCGACGCAGACGCCAGTAGAAGAAGCTCCGTACATTTTTCCAATCCAAAATATCCTGTTAAGAGTATCAAATAAGTTAATAAGCACGAATCCTCTGTAAATGCAAGTTCTGCAAAGTAACTCATATGCTGCCTAACATAACTCTAGCGTGTTAATGAAGTGTACACTCACAGTGATGACACCCTTCTCCTGCATCCTGCCTGGGGTGTCATGAAGTTCTGCAAACTGCACTGCCACCTGGTGGTAGAGGGGCAACAGGAATTCCTCCCGTGCTTTAAGCTTCAACTCCAGTTCTCTGTACTGTTTGTCAGATAGCTCTGGGGAAGCTGAGGCAAACAGAAGGGTCACTCTGAAGTTACAAAGCTCCTTGCAATATTTCAATGATAAAGAAAATAGGAACATACAAGTGACTGTGAGTTGAGATAGAAAAAGTCTTTACCAAGCTGCTCAACCAGACTAGCATAGACTGAATCTATTCTTCTCATGGTCTTCAGCAGGTCCTTCTTCCTGAATTTGATCTCTACTGTACCCTCAGCCTCCAGCACACCACCTCTGGACAGAGAAAGACAAAAAGAAACTTGTAATCACACAATATGTTGCTTAGTTTGTAAACCATTTACTGTTAAACACATCACTGCTTCTTGTACCTGCTCTCCCTGTCAGCATAGAGCTCCATACACAGTGGGTTGATGGTGGGGTCAATCACCACCCAGGACCCTCCTCTCAACTCAGCATGTGGCGGGATGTACACCAGCCCTGGCTGGTGAAAACTGTGCAGCGCATCGACGATGTAAGCCCCGAACTTCAGTATCTGGTCATACATATCTGTGGAAGAAATGGGAAGAAAGTAAGATATTTTATAATGAGAACAAAGTCTTGTATGTTATGCAGTCTCTCTGCGAGGTTTACTATTGATCCTATACCCTTCATTCCCCCAGAGAAGCCCCTCCAGTTGGCAAACACCATGAGGGGCAGATGTTCACGGTTGAAGTCACAAATGGCCTGAGCTGTTTTAAAGGCTGAATCTGGAAACCACACCTGGCCAGCCTGCTGCAGAACCTGGCACCAAAAAAACAAATGTAGAGCTGAAATGCTCCTCTAATCAGAATTACAGCCTGTTACATAACAAACATGTAGAGAGATTCACTCACTTTAGCTTCTGAATCCGGGTTGGCCGGATCTGCTGGGACAGTGAACTCAACTGTTCGTGTTTCAACAGCAATGACACCCAGGGGGATTCCTCCTAGCCTGTTCAACAATATTATTAATCAATTTAAGTGTAAAGTTTAATAAACATTTAACATGCACAGAAAATATATTTCAGGTGTGCACATTGAGAATAAACAGAGAATTTACCGTGCTCTTCCCACCACCACTGTCTGCGCCCATGACTCCATGATCTCCATGAAAGAACCGTGGTCGAAGAATCCGCTCTGCCAGGCGCCTTTCACCACTAATGGCACAAATGAATAACGTTCATAGCATGGAAGTTTAGTTGGTTTACTACTGAAATAGTAAAGTTTGAGATATTAAATGATGCAACTGACTGGGGTGAGGCCTCCCAGCCAGCATCCAGCGAGGGTCATATGGTGCTTTTGTAGGAGTGAATTCTATCTCTCTTTCTACTGGATCTGTAGTTGCTATGACAGGCACAGGGGAGTGTTTGTTCTGTCAACAGAGAACAACAGCAACTGTGGTTAGTGATGTGGTTGAGTTGCTGTGTACAGATGTGGATGCCACATTATATGAACTTCAGAGGTTCATCTGAACCTTTGGCATGTAGGAGAGCCACTGGAGGATGGTGGAGACACCCTCATAGTCATCTGGCACAGTGGTGTGTGTGACTCCATTATTGTGCATGATCTGGACTCCTCCCAGCTGGTTGTTGGAAGTGTAGACATCTCTACCCAGAACCTGTAAAGAAACAGGGACTTGCATGAGCATGTTCATGCATTTCTTTTATTAAGCATGGCTAAGATTGAATCTGCCTGCAACATTTGTATTGAAAATATTAGAGCTACAACATGGAGCTAATGTTTGCTTCAGCCACTTCTATCTGTGGTGCCACTAGCTTTGTCTCCCTCAGGGTGCTTCTCCACAAACTGTCACACATCAGTACCTGTAATTTTGAAGCAGTCCCTTAGCTGGCTGAATTAAATAGATGTGGAGGAGGACAACTTGTCCTTGACTTTTGACCACCAAAATCTAATTAGTTCATCCTTGAGTCCAAATTTGAAGAAATTTCCTCAAGGTGTTCCTGGGATATCATGTTCACAAGAATGTTCACAGACGTACAGAAGGACATAAAACAACAACAACAAAAAAAAACAAAAAACAATGTCTTCAGCCACAGCTGGTGCAGATGCATAAAAGAACAAAATGGGTTAAACAAACAAACCTTGTTCAGAGCACCTGCTCCCGTCAGGATAATGTGAGAGTTCTCCACCTGGATCACGCGCTGTCCCAGACGGACCAGATAGGCTCCGATTCCAATCGCACGACACGTCACCTGCAACAGCGTAAAGTGGCTCAAATAAAAGTCCCAGAGAGTTTGACTGGCTCTTGCTGTTGAGAGAAGTCAAATCCATAGTCTCACCATACTGATCGTAATAATCTCTTCATAGGCCTGAGAAGATTCTCCAGCAATGGTGCCAGAACCTCGCAGGTTCTCTACCCCGAGACCTTCATCCTTCCCGATGATGTCAGTGATTATATACCTATAACAGATGGGCACATTGGCAAGATCAACAAAGTCCAAGTCTCTATCATCAAATGGAGAAAAGTCGAGGATGTTGAGTGTGCTACTTGATGGGATTATATAACCAATGGTTTATTATACCTGGACTCTGCACCTTCCTCTACATGGTGACAGTGAACAGCATTGGTGGAGCTGATACGGGTGTAGTCCTGAGGTGTCAGGTAAAGATACTTGAAACCCTACAGAGAGAAATGAAAATAAACATCAAACCACACATACGTATTATCTGCTACCACTAAATGCACATATGAAGAGAAGCCTGTCTCATGGCTCACCTTGTATGGGTCAGTGGGGTCAACCCAGGCCACCTGGAACATGTGTTTGATTTCCTCAGCAAGGCCAATGCGCGCTCCACTGTTGGCTGCGATGTAAATGCGGGGTATGCCTTCAGCCCGAGCCAACTCAGATGCCCTGAGGAACAGCTCATCCTCCTGAGGGCCAAATGAGCCAATCATGTGCGTGATGTCATTACAGATGACGATGATTTCTCTGCCCTCTGGGTACTCTGGGGTCTTCATCTTCATCCTGAAGGCGACCATTCCTACCTGGGGATAAACGTTAATGGTGATTATCAGCATCATCATACTGAGAAACAATGAATTAAAAGTCTAGTAGTTAATGCAAGTGTTCTAAAAAGCATCCTACGTCGTTGTCTCCAGGCAGGCGGTTCATCTGCACCAGTCGACCTTGTGGGTCCAGAAGCAGCTCGGTGCAAATCAGCATGTCTTTAGGGTACTTGTCCCCTGGTCCCCACAGCTTGAACAGTGCCTACATAAAAGATTTTCAGTAGAGTCAGACACCTTAGGAACACTAAAGAAAGAAATAGGTCTATTTCACAGAGTTAGCAGTACTTGTCTGAACATCTCAGGGAAGTCATAAACGTATGTTGTGCCCAGAGTCTGAGCCTGGAAGCGTTTGGCCTGCAGCAGGTCTTTGGTCACGTAGGGAGTGTTGATCAGCATGCCATGTAGAGGACCCTGCTTGTCTCCATATGATTGAAACATAATCTGCAAAGATGAAGATGATGCAGTGAATTTATTGATTCATATAACAGTGAAAAGGCAGTCAAACTATACACAGAGAACAAATCCCCTGTCATATAACACAAATGTTGGTTCAGACTTAATTTCATAAAATGCTTTAAGGAAGCTACCTCAGTTTGCTGTCCTCACCTGTCCAGATCCTGGGTCAGTGACCTCCTTGTACAGGCTGATGTCCAAATAATAGCCAGACTCATTAGTGAGAAATAGGCGAAAAGGAACAGCATTTCCTGTTGGTGTCAGGCGGATGTTGATCTTCAGCTCAGCCTGTAGGACTCGTAACTTCCAAAGACGGCTGCCATAACGCATCACCATGGAGCGGACAGACTCATCTATCTGATGACCCAGAGGGGAGGAGAAGGATATTAAAAAGAGAGTGTTCAATCTGAAACTGTATAAAAAGAAATGTAGTCTGTATATACAATCAGTTACATGAACATGGACTTTAGAAGTTAAAATCCCTATAAAATATTTTTAAAATTATATATAAAATATATGCATCACATTATAATACACCTAAGGTACGAAACATAAACAAGAGAAAAAGTACAGAATGTCAAAATAAACAATGAAAAGCACCGCTGTTTTATTGCAGCTGTAACTGAATAACAACAATAATACTAATAAAACTTGACTATAGTGACATATACAGGCCGTGCTGGACACTGACTTTAGAGGGGTCCATGATGACGGTGGGGACAAAGTTGAGGAAGATGTGGTTGCAGTCTGTCCGAACACTGGTGTTACTGAAGGCTACCTCTAACTCATCCATGGCCTCCAGCAGGAGACGTTCGCCCTCATTTTGAAGGTATTCAAAAGAGGCTTCCTGGTTACATATATGGAGAGATTTAATTTGATGTTACTGCAAACATTAGCTAGAAATGTAAGGCTCTTTGATCAAGATAATAATTTAAAAAAGGTATGTTTGTAAACAATCAAACTGTACCATCCCCTCTTACCTTTGTAATGAGATCTGAGTGGCGGATAATAGCTCGGACAAAGAAGCGGTAGTCTGTGACTTCAGCACCCTCCTGAACACGAGCAGCACCCAGGTACATGTGCATCTTGTGGTTGGCACAGGGAATGGCTGTCAGGTCAAAGTTCCTCATGCGGCTGAGCTCCAGCTGGAAAGCTAAAGCTGGCTCTAGATTCCGGTAAATCCGATCTTCTTGGAACTGGAGAGAAGCATAGATAAACGCAAGTCATCATCTCCTCACACAGCAGCATGTCTGCTCATTAACTGTACTCAGGTTGCCAAAAACCTACCTCGTCTCTAGCTCGAAAAGTGAAGAACTTGGGAAATTCTCTCTGTTGAAATGAAATATGAAAAGAATAATCAGATAACAAGCAACTGTATTGTCAGAATAAAGGCATGTACAACCACAACTTGCTTGAATGTAACTAGTGGATCTATGGTTGGGCAGTAACACAATCATATATTTAGGAAAAAGAAAACGTACATAACCACATTATGAGCTGTTGCCTCTACTAAAGAACTGACTGGGATCTAGTTTATATGGTTCACAAACAGATGGAGGGGGAGAGTGAGTAAGTATGTAAGTAAGTATATGTGTTATTATTACACAGAAAAGTAATTTTAAAGACAATGTAATATTGTAGTATAATAGGAGGACATCTTTGATCTACTGTGAATAAAAACATGTTGAACTTTGGTCAGTAACACAAGAGTAGAGAGATATTTATGGCCTTACTGGGTTTTTAAAATAATGTACACTGATCATAGTGGGTCTACGTGTAGTATTAGAGTGTTCTTGCTTGTTACCTTTTGCACAATCAAAAATGTGATTCTCCTGATTCCATACTCAAAGAGAATTGCTTTCTGTAAAAAAAAAAAAAACACCCTTTTCATTTCAATAAAAATCTATAACTCACATTCATAAGAAACAGTTATGTGTTAATTTGTATCTCAACGCTGACCTTTGATTGGGCGAAGGCAGCGAAGGCTGTGACCAATCCGTCGTCCTCTTCTGTGTCCGCTGTTTTTATGGATACATTAATGATATGAATCGGGTTCTCCCTCACATTCTGTAGGGAATGAAAGAGAAACTGGTGGCTGCAGGAACACAGATGAAATCAAACTTTTTATTGATAAGCCAGTGAGCCTATCCCTGCTGCATGTTTGTGGTGTGCGCTGCATCCCCCACCCCCCATAATGGCACTACAGCCTGGCGCGAGCCCGTCGTTTTTTGAAACTCAGCATGTGCAGCTCTTTGCTAGTGACCGACTCTGTGGTACGTGATGTAAGGCTACATCTACACAAACATGCATGTGTGTGCTGGCCTGCTTAACAAAGGACTTGATTCAATGCAGTAAATCATCACACCAATCTGCACTGGTTTCACAAGTTCAATGAACTCTCCATCTTCTCTCCGACACTTAGAGGATGGACCATCATCGTGGTTCCCCGGAATACAGTAATCACCACAAACACAACTCCTCTTCCTCCTCATCATCCAGAATGATATTCTGTCTACAGTGCTGGAATGCAGTGGCAATGCCTCACGCTGCGAGTATGAACACATCGATGATTGCGGACCATGTACTCAGCCACAGAGGAGGCCGGGTGCATAGTGACACATGTAGCTTGTAGATCCTCTTACATGCCCGCTGCCCTCACCTTAAAGCTCTCCTCCTCATAGAGGCTGGAGCAGGACTCTGAGAACGGAGAACTCTCTGTGAGTGGTTCCGCAAAGCTGGAGAGAACTTCATCGAAATTCCTGCAAAAGCAAAAGAGACACATCAACTTGCAATAACTTGTTTTCATTTTGACCAATATAGCTTTGGAATAAATAAATAGAAACAAGAGTAGAATCTTCATCAAGTTTAACGTGACCTTTTGAAGTCATCAAAACACTGAAAAGCCACCATGGCACCCATGCGTTGGCAGGGTGGAGACAGGCCTCCGTCCAGGTAGAGCTCACTGCCCTGTCGTGTTATTTTAAACTGGTCTGATCCGCTCACTTGCACTGGAACCCTAAAAAAAATTTAAAAAAAAGATACACAGGCCGTGACAGCGAGACTAGACCATTGAATGGTCTACTTTAGAAGAAAAAGATACTAGCAGCCAAGAGTACAAATATTACTACAGAAAGCAATTAAAGCAGGTCTGGATGTTCTTATCTATTTGTTTTATAATTCCATACAGTTAATAGGTACCTTTCATGTATTGAATTGAAAGGGATTACAAATTGTGATTATCGCCCGTTATGATATCTGACAGCTGCAAATCAAGATTGACGATGACGCTGGAAATTACAGGCACCCCCATCTGATAGCAATCAATTAAATCTCAAAAGACTCAGCGTTAGTTTACAAGTTCAAATGTGCAATGAAAAAGACATATGGAGGAGCTCAGTCAAAAAGTGAATTAGGGAAGGACTTGTTAAGCATTTTTTTAATTGAACCTTTATTTTACTGTGTTAAAAAAAACATTGAGATTAAAACCTCTTTTTCAAGGGGACCTGGCCAAGATAATGCAGCATGGAAGGCAAAAAGCATCACAGCACATCCATTGCTGTGAGACATACACACAATTTGATGATAGAGCTGGTTGGGAGGAGCTTTACTCTACCTGTTCAGAGTAGGGTTGCTCCCTCTGAAATAAGATGATTGACAGGTGAATATTAGGAGTGGATGATCAAGCTATATCCCTCTCTCTCTCTAGGCTTTATGATTAGATTAATGCTCTTTTACAAGATGCTATGCACAGTCATATTAAAGACCAACCATTCTGCATTCAAAGTTAGTCATACACAGAGCCACTATACTAAACTTGGCTGCTTTATGCTGATTCATCTATAAATACAAATCAGGCCAATTTAATAAGAAAGTGTGGCTGAGGGGTGAAATGGTTTAAGGCATGGATGTGATCATGTGAGCCACAAAGCGAAGTACTTTTCTATAGAAAGGCTTATTTGGTTTAACAAAAAGCTACTCAGTAAGCTCAAGCCCCGCCCCCCCGCCACTAACACAAATCAAGCGTCTTAAGTGAGAGCAGAACTAAGGCAAAATGTGTCCAGTTTTGGTGAACGGTAGTGATTCAATATTTAAAGAAACAAAATGAGGCAATAATGTGCAATTCATCTATGACTGCAGTGTTATTGTACCTGTTAGGATGTGACGTTGGTAACATAAACTGGAAGTCTACAGCACATGTTCCATCCTGCAGCTGGTGATGCTGGATGCTGTTCAGCTCATAGGCGATGTAAGCTCTACGCACATACACCTGAAAGTCACACCAGGACAAGTAATTATCACTAATGAAGAAATAAAAATGCCACAGAAAGAAACCCCTCAGTGTGAATCCACTACATACCTCCAAGGCAGCCATGCAAACCACTTGGTTGGAGTGATAGAAGAAATTGGGCAAAACATCAAAAATTGAGGTTTCAGAGAGAATGAGTTTCTGTGGGAAACGAAAAAAAGTAGTGTTTGACTTTCAAGCTGCTGAAAAAAAGACGTTGTAATGAAATTTCCCCACACAAGGCTAACCTTCAAGTTCTCCGGACAAAACTGGTGGCCAAACATGTCAATGGCTGACAGGAAGATGGACTCCACCTGGTTGTGTCTCAGTTCATATGATGGCAAATGGGAGGCAATCAAGACCTGTGAGATATTCACAAATATAATATGAATCCATAGAGAAAGATTTAATTTTTATAAAAAGGATGCATCCTTTTTTTGAGAAATTATACTGAAAAATATCACTTCAGTCCAGCTTGAGGTATCATATCTGATAAGATTACAGTGCTTAAACTATACATTCAAAACATACAACAAACAGTATATTACATGCCTGTCTGGCTCTCAAAGCCACCTTTGAGTTCTCCATCTTGCTGAGCTGTGTGAGTTCACTGAGAATGGCCATCAGCTCATCTGCCAGGGTGGGATCCCTCCCACACAGTTGGTCCTGCACAAAATCAAAGACACAAGTCACATTTATTTGTTTACCACAAAGAACGACTGATGTGCTTATATCGGCACTGACGCTGACGTAAGCCTTACGATGAGCATGGTGACCAGGATGTTCTTCTTGGAGACCTGGGCATGAGAGAAGATGTAGTCCAACACAGGATTCATGTTGGGTTTGTGCTGCTCTCTCAGGTTGATAACACATTTATCATAGTGAGCTGTTTGGGAGGAAAAGGATCGAAGCATTTCAACTAAAGCTCACCTGCACTTACAATAAAGAAAATGCCTCATTTAGAGTATTCATTTAAAGCTGAAAGAGATGTCACCTTGCTGAAACTGCATCTCTACTTGCAAGTAGCGCTTCAGCAGATCGAGAACCACAGACTTCATGTAACCACGAATTCCACTTCGGTACCTGAACAGAATGTGCTTAAACATGTATCTATCAATGCGATACAAATATTATTCATATACATATTACTACTGCTTCACAGTCTGCTTCTGACAAAAATAAAGAACTAACCTCTGCACCAACTGTACAATACTCTGAGTGTTCATGAAGAAGACCTCACGGTCAGCCTTCCTCTGCAGGGTCGCTGCATGGCTATCTAGAATATTTGCAATCTGGAATAAAATAATAAATAAATAAATAATCATTATATTAGAATGACATTTAAATAACTTGCTCTGTAACAGAGGCACAATTTCTGTCAGTCAGTCTTTTACCCTCTGACTGCGGAACTGGCAGAGGACAGAGGTGATGTTGCTTGCATACTGAGCCATGACTTTACGGATGTCTTTCTCAACAGTAGGTGGAATACGACCCGCCACGCTGGTCATGATCTCCTGGAGTTCCAACAAAGGCAGAGAGGGGTCTCTAAGGGTCTTCATGAGCGTAGTCACCCACTGTTTCAGCTGCAGAGACAAACATACAAATCCAAACATGTTCATATAATTACTAAAGCTTATTGATGTTTTGTAATTCAGAAATTTGAAGCAGCAGAGGGACCGTTATGTACCTTGCTGCTGTAGTAGGGTTCTTCAAGGCAGTACCCATCCATGACTTTAAACAGGTTTTCGAGCACATTGTGGAACACCTGGTGAAGCTTTTCCCCAGCTATGGGCAGTGGTTGCTGGGGAGGCAGTGTGGCTGTGTTGAGCTCCACCTATGACAGAAGGTGAAATGGGAAAGATCAGTTTCCTTTATTATCTGCAATTAACAACAAAAACAGTCACAATGTGGGATATAGAACACTTTTTTTTTGTTATCCAACAAGCACTTAAACAACCACCTGTAGACCCCTACAAGTGCATGCCAAAATGACTAATTAGAGACTTTTAGCTAAGATCTGAACATTAGAAATTTGTTAGAGGGTGGTATAAATAACACAGCATAAAGTCATTAAAGAGATCTATTTATACACTGTAGATGGTTATTTGGAAAAACCTACCAAGTGGATACTGCTGGGGTCGTCCAGGTCCACACGTGCCACCACACAGCCAGGCCTCAGAACCGCCCCTGGTCTCTTGACAAAGTGGATACAACCAGACTGCTGCACAGTCAGAGTCATCACCATCTTCATCACCTGAAACCACAGCAGAAGCAGCCAGTGAGTGAAAATACAGAAATTCAACAAGTACCTAAAGAAGTCATAAGCAGTGTGCATTTTACTATACCACATTCTCACAAGTTCACCTCAATCTCTGCATAGGTCTCCCCGGCAAATATATGACCTCCATCCTCAACCAAGTATTGCAACAGTTTACCAGCAGAGGGTGACCTCAGCACTGTGGGATCCTTCTCCTTCTCAAATACACAGGTCTTGTTGCCAACAGTGATACGGTAGCTATGGGGATAAAGTAACGGGGGGGGGAGTATGTAAAAAGATATAACAAATGCATATAAAAATCAAAAATCCAGATCTACAGATTCAACAGCTCTTGCCTATCCACTTCCTCCTTCATGTAGGTGGTGTGGCTGCTGCCATTGTAGGAGAACAGGAGGCCTCCGTCACTCAGTCTGTGGACATCTATTTCAATGTCGGAGCAGTTCATCGTGATAACATAGGTTGTTGGGGATTGGCGAGCCACCTGCAGTCAGCAGTAGTGATCAGTTAAAAAGTTGAGATGTCCCGATCCGATACCAAGCATCGGTATCGGTGCCAAGCCGGGAATTTTTCACAGCAGCCTATTGGCCAGAATGGAGCCGATCCAATTCCAATCCATATGTAGAACTACAGTCCTGTATTTGAGCAGTTGTTGAGGCGTGTGCGTCAGGCAACCGATAATTAATCAGTCCAGTGGTCTAAACTGCCTGCTTGCCAACTGGCATACAGTATGATTCATTTTTTATGCATGTAGCTGTGACCTGAAGCATATTTTGAACTGCAAGTCTATTTTTTCTGAGGTACGTGCATACGTCCTGTCTGCAAATGGCCTTAAGCTAATAAACTTAATATTATGGAACCAGGGCCTGATCCAGTATTTGGATCAAGAAGCTCCTGAAAAATACAGTGTGACAAATTAATTTCAATATCAATATGTCAGATATTTAATGAACTTCTACTGTAGGTAAATAGAAGTACCGGAATCAGTATTGGCAGATAATTAATAATAAAGGAATCAGATCAGTATTGGGGCTAACAAAACTGGACCGGGCCATCCCTATTTAGAAGCTAATTCAAACAAAGATTGTGTGAAGGGAATAAAGTAGACACCTTCAGGCAGAACTTGACTCCTTCATATATTAGGTCCACACTGACAGAGTTGAGGAGACTGGCTGCAGGCAACACCTGGCCTCTACAGATTCAGAAGACAATGATTTTAAAAGTCAAGTATATGAAAATAAAAATATAAACTGAGACATTAATAAGAAGTGTCTACTGGCCTTTCTAGTGAATGAAGGTAGTCAGACATGCTCTTTCTGAAACTAGCATCAGCAACATGCAAAGCCCCACAGACAATACCCAGCGTTGTATCTGGCCTCTCTGCCTGCAGAAAGAGCATGTGGCTTAAGTGATTGAATAAAACTACATTAAATTTCAGCTCTGGTGTAAGGTCTTGAGTTTCCTACCTGCACTTTCTCTGCAATGAGATGATCCAGCCAGCCGGTGTCAATGTCATTGTTTCTGAAGCTTTCTGTCTCCAGTATCTTAATGAGGTATTCTACAGTTGTCCTGAAGTCACCTCTGATGGACAGCTCCTTCACAGCCACCACCATGTTCCTGAAGCATATGGCAAATAGGACACCTAATAAACAAATAACTGGTGAAGATCAGATATCATGGCACCATCAAACTAAGAGGCTTACGAAATGGCTTCTTCGCGGTTCTCGCCCCAGGAGAAACAGTGTCCAAACTGGGAGTCGGCAAACTCATGCAGGCCACCAGTCGCCCCCACGCTGAAATAACCCCAAACATTTTTACTGCTGCGGAAGTTCAGCTCCTGCACGGTACCAGAACTGGGCTTGAAGCCCTATGAGCGAGCACAAGGATTATGACAAGTCAGCTTTACATATTAAAAGCATGCAACAAAACCGTGTTTTGACTGTTAAAGAAAACTGAGCTGTACCTCATCGGGGTTCTCACTGGTGATTCGAACAGCTATGACATGCCCCCTTGGACTTGGTATGCAGTCTGGAGTCTCAAAGTTAATGATGGTGTCGCCCCATGGACTTTCTCCATAAAGCAAGCGGATGTCCTTAATTCTATGAAGGGGGACGCCCATCGCAATCTATCAGCGATGGAACACTGAGTTATAATGGTAGAGTTGAATATGTAGCTACAGTCTTAAGTGCACGAGGACTCATGTTGTGTTTGTGGTATATTTAGTCTACTGTATCACCACTAACATATTTACCTGAAGCTGGGCAGCAGGCAGATTTACATCTGCAATCATCTCTGTACAGGGATGTTCCACCTGCAGGCGAGGATTCAGCTCCAAGAAATGAAAGCTTCCGTCTTCAGAGAAGAGATACTCCACAGTACCTGCACTCACGTAGCCCACCATCTTGGCCAGCCGCACAGCATACTGGAAGACAAAACATGAAGTCTCAGCCAGAGAAGCTGAGTTAATTAGGGTAGGAGAATAACTACATGCAGTGACATAAACGAACCCGTTCCATTTGCTCAAGTGTTGAGGGAGCCGCTACGGTGGCAGGCGCCTCCTCTATGATCTTCTGGTGCCTTCTTTGGATGGAGCAATCTCGCCCAAACAGAGAGATGGCATTTCCATACTGATCAGCCAGGATCTGAACCTCAAGGTGTCTCGCATGCTGAGCCAGCTGCATGATGAAGATAGGCGAGCCGGGTATCTCTGCCTGAACCTTAAAAATAAAAAGTTAACTGTAAGAGTTATATCAAATTCAACCGTGTACAGTCGGGGGCTAAGAACACAAACCTGTCTAAAGAAACCTGGAAACTCTTCTGAGCTTTCTACTTTCCGGATACCCTTTCCACCTCCACCCTCAGAGGCCTTGATAACCACAGGATAACCAATTCTCTCAGCTTCCTGCAAAGAAGTAATGTCTGAAATGTAACTTGCACAAATGGTATGATTTTGAGAAAAGAAAAATTAGCTAATGTGTAGATATTATTACAACAACTTTAGTACTTACTGCCAGCCCTTCATCTACATCACGAACACAGCCCTTTCTGTAGACCTCTGGAGGAACAATGATTACATTGCCAAGTCGTTGGTCCTCCTCTGGCCAGTCCACTCTCAGACCTGGAGCACAATAAAGCAGATAAAAACACCGAACCACGGCCAGATGTTCCACACTCTACACATTAAGGAGTCTATACCCTGTTCAGACAGCACAATAAGTCCTACTACACACTAGGTGAACTGAGACAGTGTGGGGAGGTAGAGCATCACCTGATCCACTCCATGGCAGTGTGGGAATGTCAGCACTCTGGGCCACAATAGATGAAGCCACCTTATCCCCTAGAGCCCACATGGCCTTACTGGATGGCCCTGAGAAAAACAGTAGTTGTCATTTAACAAGACGGCACACAGGGTACTAATGAACCGAATAAAATTAATGAAAATACTCTTTCTTTGTAGACTAGTTTTTACCCAAGAACGATATTCCCGCTTTGTTCAGGAACTCAGGAAGTTTGGGATTTTCTGAGGTATGACCCCAACCAGCCCACACAGCCTGTAAAGAAGTAATACACACACAATCTATTCAGTTATTACAGTTTTTATGAACAGGTAGAGACAGTCACAGAAGAAAGGCCACAGAACATCGCTGTGTGGATAAATGATGTACCTGCACTGGGATTCTTTTCGCAATGTCCACTATCAGCTCTACGTTGGCATAGTTGTTATTGTTGGGCCCACCAGGTACAGGTACATAATGGTCTGCCATTTTAATGTATTCTACAGGGATGAAAAACAATAACACACGGCAGCTGAATATCTAGTCAGTAGATTTACAGGGATTCACTATATTATTATTACTTTAGACTGAACTTAGTTTTACATCTCATATTTAGAACATTATCAAAATTATTTAGCATCTCTAAAATGACCACTTTATGCCAGTTCTGGCCTCTTTACACCGGCTATCCACAGCTTTCAGGATTCATTTTAAGGTCCTCTTATTACTCTATAAAGTCTCAAATCATTTGGGCCCAGCTCAAAGGTCATGAAACTTAAATCTGCTTTCTCAGCATTGTGTCTACAAAAATACTAGAAAGACAGCCTCTTGCAGTTTTGTTCCCAAAGTGTGGAATAGCCTACCAGTAGAAATAAAACAAGCAAACAGCTGAAAACGTCTTTTCAGCTTAACTTTTAATCAATGTCTATGTTATTATACTTTATTTATATCTTTGTTATTGCACCTTCTAGTGTTTTCCTCTCGCTCTCATCCTGATAACTGCCTGGTGATATAGTAGCTACTGGACAACAACATGCTAAGGATTAAGTCTGCAGTGACCTGCGTTGGCTTTCAGGTCCTCGGGGGTCACCATGACTACGAAGCGGATGGTCCTCTCGTTGCGAAACATTTCGTAGGACCAGCGGCGGATAGAGCGCATACATTTCACCGCAGCTATGCCATTGTTAGCTATCAGCACCTGTAACAGAAACAGAGAACATCTGAATAGTCTCATAAATACAGAGGGGAAATTTGTTGACTAATGAAAGACTGATATATATATATAGGAAGCAAGGACTTTGGTTCTTACTTTTTCTATGACACGGTTGCCACCAAATCGGGTGACAAACTCAGCAGGAGAGGCGACAGTGAAGTCCCTTTGCAGATCCATCTTTCTGTGTTCACGTCCTTTTTTCACCAAGTGAGGACCAGACATGCTGGGCCTGGCGTAGAAAACGTGTGGTTACTAAGAGTGATCGCATTTTGGAACCAACTTTTGCGTCTGATTTTTTTTTCTCCAAAGGTCGCACTGATTGCGACTGCAAAATGACAAAATGAAAGGGTGTTAAAGAGTACCGGCACCTTCACATTGTGCCTGCAGCATCTCTCCCACCATATATAACTGTAAAACAATGCAACAGCAGAATGACGGAGCAACGAGCAGCAAACGTGTCGACACTACGTAATGTGTGACGCTTGGGGTCACGGGTTACACCGACCACCGCTCAGTGTAGCCTGGACAGGGTCCGAGCCAAGGGCAGCTAACAAGCGTAACTGCTAGACTACGTTTGTCCCCCGGAGACCTGTAATCAGGTCGATCTCACCCCGTCACTACTAGCATGTTTATGTCCCTTTGAGAGAACCTCTGTGGCTGAGCTAACGTTAGCGGCTCTGCTACCACTGTCGCTACGGTGTGTGTGTGTACGTAGCCGCAGCCCTGTTGAATTTCATCATCACATACACTGTATATACATGTCTGATAGCGGATAATACATATTCTTAATTTCAGTTTTCATTTCAAAAATAACTTTAACCACTGCTCTTCACAGAAAATACTTTACAGAGAAGTGCAGTTCCAACAAACTGTTAGTGACAGAAATTGGTTTACGTCACGGTGCGTCTCTTTAATCAGATGCTCACCACAGCAGAGCCAGTAAAAGGTGGAGGTGTTTCCAGCAGGATTATTATTTCTGCATAGCTGTTGGTTTTTACTGGAGCTGAGACACGTGTCCATACTCTAGACAATCAATAACGCAGGTTCCATGAGCAGTGAAATGAATTACTGTGCTATCTGATAGTCAACTTCAATGTAATCATCTATTGCACAAACAACCAATCAAGTTGTTCTCCCAATAACAAGCTCTATCTTTACAAAGCTGGGTATCAGCTGACTTTGTTTATTAGCTTCACTACATATTCCTGAAAGATGACCCTGTAGCTGCATTATTAAATGTATATTATAAAACTGAACTTTGCAATCCTTTATCATGGGACTACCACCAGTATTACAACACAATGAACAAGATAGGACTGATATCTTTAGATCAATAAAGGAAAATATTTGTCCATCTTTAGCATTTGAACAAATACTCAAATACTATTAGATCATTTTCAGTACCATTATAACCTGCTGGCTCATTCCAAAGTCTCATTGCAATTGTACCACTTGTGCCTTTATAGAAATTCTGTCTCATGTTAAGATTTCACTGAAAAAGGCCTGGGTTATATTGAGCTTTACTGTGAAGCTGGTGGGCAACTCTGTCTGGACTGGTGTGAACAGGAAATAAGGACTTGCTGTGTTACTGAGCTACTTTTAGTCCTGTTCCAGCTCAGTGTCACACGCTTTTGGTGCACTTTCTGCTTCTCTTCAGCACACGAAGACATCAGGGTTACACTGAATTACACACTGGCTTCACGGAACAGTGTGTTCATAGATGTGAGCCAGAGAGTCAGATCGGAGTATAACTTGCACTAAAACACGTTAGCTTACTACTGTCCTGCTTCATGATGACACCACAAAAGTCACTGTGCTCTGTGTTACAACACATGCCTCCTCCAGAGAGTACAAATTACTGTTTTTTTTTTATTTCCTGAAGCTTACATGTGCAAAGACCAGCTCTGTACTGTTACATAACAGAATGGCCACACCAGCGTATATACACACACACACACACACACACACGCACAACAACAGAAAGTGCTACTTTTCTTTAGTACAAAGTAACTGTGCATCACTTTTTCATTGTTTCTGCTGCTCTAACACAAAGCATGCGATAACTGTGCACATAGCACAGCAGCCACGGTATCAAATTACAAAAAACCACATCAAACCAATGAGTGTGACTAACCTTTGGAGATATGGGAACAAGCTGAGACTTGAGTTGTTTCCCTCCATTATACAGCCTGATTTACTGTCCTACATTCCTCAGTAGCAAAAATGTATTTTAGATTCTAAGCTCCAAACAACAAGACCGTAACAATGTCCTTCCTCTAAGACGCTCCCTCCCCTTTCCCCTCCCACATGAGCAGCAAAACATCTACAGACCTCCTGTGACAGACAGATCCCAGGCTGCCCTTTAAAATTCTGTATACACAGAAAAAAGGCTAGCACCAGTGACAAAAGGGTTCAGTCTACTTCATATATAAAGGAAAGACCAGCATCCAAACAAAATCTGTAGTCAAGGTTTTGGACAGGCTGAATCCTCAAGCACACACATACAAGTAGATTTATTTTCCATTAAACATTTTTTTAAATGTGCATCGTCCTTCGACCTGTAGAAAGATTTAGCAATGGAAAAAGTCTTACCTTTCTCTCTCCAAGTTGACTGCCACAAGTCCCACTAACACACGCTGCTTTATGCAGCTGTGTGCACTAAACACTTCCTCTGACCCTCCATCATATCATATACCATCACCGGGTATAAAAATAATAACTATGCAAAATGTAACAACAACAACAACAAAAAAAGAGTAGGAAATTAAAATTTGTAGAAAATTCTAAAGTGTTTTTGTTTGCTGCAGTGACCTACAGTCACACCACAGTTTTCAAAGTCACTGGCTGAGGGTCTTGTTCCAGTAATAGAGCTGAGGTGTTTGGTACACGACAATGACAGCTCGAAGCAGTGAGGCGATAACAGGGCAAGTAAGAGCATAATGGCACACTCCTAGTGTGGCCACACACTGGACCCACACCTAACAGAAATGTTTTGCCAGTCTCACGATAGAGAGATAAAACATACCGGAACCCGTACTGCTAAGATTAAATTCACTTAAAAACAAAGTCTTACCTGATGTGTAAAGAGCTGGACTGTGGCACTGCACAGGACATCTGCTGAGAGGAAGAGCTGGGGGTAGAGGTCGGTGGCTGACATGCACCACTTGGCGGTTTGGTGACTGGAGCCTCCTCGTCTGAAGAATTATCCTCTGATGCTCCAAGGATGAATTTGAGGCGTTCCCTCGCTTTGGTCCCTGAGCCGGGCATTGGCACATCAGTTTTGTGAGGTTCCTGAAAGTTCTGTGGCAACAACTGCAGCTCTGAATTGACCTTAGAGGACTGAGGAGGCTCAGAGTCCACTGTTTTAACTTCAAGACCCACAGAGGTACTGTCAGACAGAGGACTCTCATTGTGTGTTGAGGTAGTAGGAGCTGTTGACAAGGAATGTTTCTCTAGATGGGGGGTTTGGGAAGCAGGCATTTTCTCCTCAGCTGCAGGGGAACCACAGTCAGATGAAGATTCCTCTTCTTTCACAGGCATCACTACACTCTTAGCATTACTCTTCCACAGTAGGAACAATATCCAAAGGATTAACCCCAAAACTGCAAACGGCAGCATTCACAGATACCCTCCTGAGACTGCAACAGGAACAAAGTGGATACTGTAATTCATACAAAAGATGGCATCAGTATCTACACGTCATATTAAACACAGCACACCAAAGTCTGTTCACAGGTCTTGGGAAGTTCTACCACACACAGTATGTGAAAAAAAACTGCATAAAGCCTTTGTGTCTCCAAACAAAGCAACGCAAAGTGTGATAAATGTCCTCAAGTGATGTCATTTGAGTCAGCGTTGGCTGGAGCTGAAGACTATAAGTTTTGAAAAATGAAAAAAATAAATAAATAAATCTGGGGGTGTGGAGCTAGAAGGTGAGGTTACCAGCCGCCTGCATTCCACTCCTCATATCTGATGAAGGTCAGCACTACATTAGCCACTACCAGCATAAAACACCCAAATGGGTATAGTTGAGTGAACTGAGTTGAGTTACATTGTGGTAACAGGACTAGATCAGTGAAGTACTCTTTTAAAAGATCAGGCTATTCATGGTTTAACATTTTCAACAATACAAGTGTTTTTGACATTTTAAATAAGAACTCCTGTAAGCAAAGCTCAATTGCAAGCATATTCAAACCGGTACTTCTCTCAGTTGCAACTGTTTACTAGCTAGGTCTAAGGAATTCTTAATTCTTTATCTGTATATCCTCCCTGTGCTCTGTACTTGCCATTGAACTTGACTTTGAGAAAATATTATATTACGTAGCATTGCTGTCTGGGTACTATTCTAGTCTGAGGACATTTCTCTTCAGGCGTCAGAGATGTCAGAGACCAGAAGCCCTCTGGGAACAGGGGAATTCTGGGATTCTGGGTAATTTGAGATCATCTTTGTGGGTTATGCTTACCTTCAACAGACGGAAGAAAACCAGATAGAAAGTCTTACTTTTATATGAGATAAAGCCTAGATAAGGAACACATTTAATCTTGATAAAGTGCGAAATGTCTTTTACAGTAAGTGAATCAATTCAAAACATATTATGAGCAGTCACTAATAATCATGTGCACACTCTTCTTATGAGATTTGTGAATCATTAAATGAGATAGCTATGTAGTTTACAATGGCAGCAGGAGCTGGCAGCTGGTGTCCTATAAACAACCTGTGTGTGACAGGGACTAGGGTAAAGGTCACTACAATGAGGGCATGAAGAGGCAAAACATACACACAAATGAGCATCTGGAGGTATTTAAGATTAAATGGAAAACAGAGGATATGTTTATATGCAATCCATTTGAAATATAGTGATTCCTAATGTCAGTCAAAGGCTGCATTTTAAATAAATATGAAGGATATTAATATGCAAACCATGTGAAACAGGCAGACAAGGAGACACTTGTCCTCTGGAGGACTTTGCCTTGGAAGATCGACAGGAACGAAAGAAATACTGACCCACCACGTTATATGAGAAAGTTTAGCCATAAAATAGCTCCACGTTTCATTTATTTGTGGCATTGTTATCATAGCACTGAACGTTTAAGACCAGTAATACTTCCAGTTTGTTAATCCGCTAATAAAATGGAGTGATGCTGACCTCCACCGACTGTCACCGTGGATAATCAAATGTAAACTGAACCACAAAATCCATGTACACAAAAATGATCAACTTACATGTTAAAAAAACTGTCACAACATGTCATTTACACTCACCACTACAGATAAGGGGTAGCATTGCTCAGTCGTTGTTGTTGCTGTTCCTCGTCTAGTTGCAACTTATTATTTCTCATAACTTCACACTACTCGAGGTTATTATGAATTAAAAACCATTCCTCACTGTTGACTTAATTGGAGACCTCCACCCAAAGTCAGCCACACCATTGTTTATCATTTTAAAACCCCAAACATTTTGTTTGTAGCAGCTGTAAATGTCAAAGCCACCTACTACCAGCCTATTTACTTACAGCCGCCGCAGCAGCCGCCCTCCTCCTCCCCCCACTCTTCCTCCTCGATGGGATAGCAAACACAAGCTCCTCCCAGGAAGAAGAAATCCCCCGAAGATTGTGTATATAAAGATGTTTCACTCGGTGTTTAAAACATAGTCAGAAAACACAACCAAATAATTTGATTTATTTGTGGGCGGCCCCTGAGACTGCTGCGTTCGAGTACAATCGGATGAATGAGAGATGGAAAAGATTCACACGGTTGCGGGCCTTTACCGCTCAACTCAAGAAAATTGTGTCTCCTAAGCAAATTACCAGTATTGTAATGTATCCACTAAATGTGAATATTATTGCATAAAACAATCGGCTTAGGCTGTCAAGATGTGAATGCATCTTTTTTTCCCTTTTCAGACACCTTCTTATTATGAGTACAGGACTTACCTATGAGTACCCATTTCTGATCACTACTGAGGTTATCACCCTACTACTTTCCTCTTTGCCCTATATAGCTCTGACTTCCAGTATTCTACACCTCTGAGTCCTGTCTTCTGCCGTTTTCAGATAACTTTGCAGTTGTGAGATGTAATGTAGTTTGATTGATAGGTGTGATGTACACAAAACAGTAGCATGGACAATGAGAAATGAGGACTAATAACAGTATCAATAATTAAATAAAAACTGCCTATTATATTTCTAGGAGTTTGTGGGAATGCGCATGGCTTTGACCCCTGCTATCTGGTTTAAGCTAAAATTGGTTAGAAACGGATTCCACGTGTCAGTAAAAAGCTGATATATTATTCTTATGGTTGGATGATATTTTCTCTAGTGTGATGAGAAGATTGTTCCAGTGGTTGATGTGTAAAGAGTTTTTAGATTAGTCACAATGGATTTGTACAGTTTTATATACAGTCAGTGGGGCCAGTGCAACTTCCTTTGCCTCCTGTCTGGTGGGGCAGCAGCATCAAGACAGTGACACCAGTACACTGAACAAACCAGTCAGAAGCAAAACTTCTTCAGCTCCACTGTGACAAAAAATGCTACAGGAAGTCCTTCCTTTCAACCCTAAAACCGTTCAGCTGATTTTTCCGAGAGCTAAACACTGTTTGTTTGCATTTGGTTTTACTTGGCATCAAACTGCTACAAATACATAACACACAAAAATACAATTTTTTACTAAAATTCAAAACATAGCCCCACATCGGTACGAGGGGTTGTTGTTTCATTCTGCCGATATTATGCGAATGCAACATAATAACTTCTGTTAACAGTGGGAATCTGTGTAGAATTTTGGGGTTGGGTGATTCATCTTTCAATAAACGACCTTCGTTTTTCCTCCCCCTCGGCGCTGCTCTCGCGGGAACTACAGGCACGCGCCAAAATAAGAAAACAAGTCGTGTCCGTGACAGTGGTAGAGACATATAAAAGACAAGCCTTATTCTTAAAATCTTTTCCAAATGCGGCTTTATGCACAATTTTATACAACCTGAGCGAGTCTAACATTTATTTCGCGTGCCCTAGCCGGCAGGCCACGAGAGACGATGGTTCTGCAAAACAGTGGACGTTACAGAGCCGACCGAGGACAAAGTGGAGGAGATCAGGAAAACCAGTGAGTTAACGTTACTTCAGCTATTCTAGAGCCTAGACAACTACAGTGTATTCAGTTCTACAGGTTAGGATATGGTTGCAGGAGTAATGTAACTTAGTGTAGTTATTATATGTGTTTGAACCAGGGACGATGGGTCCTCGATGTCAGCTCTCAAGCGGCTGGAGCGCAGCCAGTTCACCGAGGAGATGGACTCCCGCTTTGGTTTCGACAGGATGAAGGAGCCGGGTGAGAAAACAGGCTGGCTGATCAACATGCATCCAGTAAGTACACACAGTGTAATAACAGTTATCCTGTGGGACTTCTTGTGGTGGAGAAGAAGGTAAACTAAACATAACACGTTGTGTGTGTGTGTTTTTACTCCTCTATTCTAGGTAGAGATCCTGGATGAAGACAAGAGGATGATCAGTGCTGTGGACTTTTATTTCATTCAGGAGGATGGAAGCAGGTTTAAGGTGTGTTACCAGCCTAACACAACAGGTGTAGTTATTATCATGTAATAATATACATGAAAAATGTGCAGCAAACCTGGATCTCTTTCCACTGCATTAACACACCCCATTGATATTCATTCCATCTGTAGGTGGCTCTGCCCTTCAAGCCCTATTTTTACATTGCTACTAAAAAGGTAAATCTGTGCCTATCATTTAGTTCTAATGCCATGTAAGCATGTTCAGAACCTCTTTCTCTAAAAGCAGCCTTTTAATTTCTAGAACTGTGAGAGAGAAGTCATCTCATACTTGTCTAAGAAGTTCCAAGGGAAGGTGGCAAAGCTTGAAACCCTTGCAAAAGAGGACCTAGACCTGGTAAGTGTTTGTGTCCTTCAACAGCATAAAGGTCATTTTATGTGGTTCATAACACAGTTAAAAAAAAATCGTTAAATTACAAGCCACGTTTTTAAAGCAAACACCAATTGACAGAAAAATAATCAGACTTGAACATATAGTTTTCATCTTAGTGACATTTTATGGCTATTTTTGTGTTTCATAGATTAAACAATAATAATCATCCGATTAATTGATAACAAAAAGAATCCTTACTTCCATCCGTACATCTGTATAAGATGTACTGGCTGGTAGTGTTGTTGATGTGCTGGCTTGTTCCCTAGCCAAACCATCTAGTTGGACTGAAGAGAACCTACGTCAGACTGTCTTTCAACACCGTGGACGACCTCATCAAAGTCAAGCGTGAGATCGCCCCGGCGGTGCGCAAGAACCGAGAGAGGGAGCAGGCCAACGACGCCTACACATCAATGTTATCAAGGTACCACCAAAGTACCCTGTTATTTTCTAATGAGGTTACCTGTTATTTGGTGCCGCAGATGGCTGCCTCGGTTCTGTACCGGAAACAGATTCCTTGTCTGTAACATACTTGGCCAAATAAAGGTGATTATTATTATTCCAGATTTATATTGAGCTGTGGATGCCTGTGCTGGTTTTTCAGTGCCTTATCAGGTGGCAACGTTACCTCGGCAGACGAAGACGGGATGTCAAAGAGTATTTTAGACCAGTTAGACAACATAGTGGACATGAGAGAGTATGATGTGCCCTATCATGTGCGTGTGTCCATCGATCTCAAGATCCACGTGGTAAAGACAGATTTCTTTCTCAGTGCTTGAGAAATCCTTAAAGATTCCTGTGCTTGCTTTTGCCAATCCTCACAGTTTTTATTCTTCAGGCTCACTGGTACAACGTTCGATACAGAGGCAGTGCTTACCCACCAGAAATAATACAGAGAGATGACCTTGTGGAGCGACCAGTATGAGGATTTTGTTATTCATGTTGCAGCATAGTATATGTCATATATTCAGATTTATCTCGCCAGTGCCTTTCCATAGAACACTGTCATGTTCTTTTAGGACCCAGTTGTTTTGGCGTTTGACATCGAGACCACAAAACTGCCACTAAAATTCCCAGATGCAGAGACAGATCAGATTATGATGATCTCCTACATGATAGATGGACAGGTGAGTATGCATTCCTTCTACAAGTTTGTTATATATTTTCTGTTAAACTGTGTGTGTCAATTTCACTAACTTTGTTTCCTTTAAAGGGATTTCTCATCACGAACCGAGAGATTGTCTCTGAGAACATTGAGGATTTTGAGTTCACTCCCAAGCCTGAATATGATGGGCCTTTTACTGTTTTCAACGAGGATGATGAGGTACGTAGCTGAATGCTTGTAAGTATAATACAGCGTAAATAAAAATGAAAGCACTTGATTATATACATACGATTCTGTGTGGTCCTGTCACTGTTAATAACATGTGGTAGCATGACTTTGGTTGCAGGCAGCCCTTATCAAGAGGTGGTTTGATCACATTCAAGAAACAAAGCCAAACATCTTTGTAACATACAATGGAGACTTCTTTGACTGGTGAGCCGTAGTTTTGCAGTGCGTCAAAACTGATGCTGTTTCCTGCTCATTAATTATGGTGTTAACATTTTATCTCTGTCTCGCTTTGTTTCTACTCTTTCCAGGCCTTTTATTGAGGCTCGGGCCACCCTTCACGGACTGAGCATGCACAGGGAGATTGGTTTCCAGAAGGATAGTCAGGGAGAGTACAAGTCCAGTCAAGCCATTCACATGGACTGCTTAAGGTTCCCACACATCTGACACAGTTAAAATTCTGATGTTGTAAATCTACACTTAGGGGTTAGATTCATTATTTTCTAACAGTATCCCTCCCACCTGCACCTCCTCTGTGTCAGGTGGGTGAAAAGAGACAGCTACCTGCCGGTGGGAAGTCATAATCTGAAGGCTGCAGCAAAGGCTAAACTGGGCTACGACCCAGTGGAGCTGGACCCAGAGGAGATGTGCCGCATGGCAACTGAGGAGCCACAGGTACAAAATTGGACAGACAGTTTTTACAGCTCAGAAAATTAAGAATTCAGTGGTTTTGTATGTGCATTTACACTTTCATGGACCTTTTCTCCCCTGTCAGACTTTAGCAACATACTCTGTGTCAGACGCTGTGGCCACGTATTACCTCTACATGAAGTATGTCCATCCCTTCATCTTTGCTCTGTGTACGATAATCCCCATGGAGCCTGATGAGGTTTGTTTTTTATGTGTTTTGTAAAAAATAAATAAATAAATAAAGACTTGGATCCAAAAAAAAAACCATAACATGCACATTGATAATTATTCATGTCTTTTCTTGCATTGTCTGTCTCCTACCAGGTTCTGCGTAAAGGTTCTGGGACTCTGTGTGAAGCCCTGCTCATGGTGCAGGCCTTCCACGTCAACATTGTATTCCCCAACAAGCAGGAGCAGGTCTTCAACAAGCTCACAGATGATGGCCATGTCCTGGACTCTGAGACCTATGTGGGTGGCCACGTGGAGGCGCTGGAGTCTGGAGTCTTTCGTAGTGACATCCCCTGCCGTTTCAAAATGGTACTGTCTGTCTCAGCTCTTTGTAATGTTAAGGTGCACTGACTAAGATTTTACACATTGTCTCATA